CGCATACAACCTAAAGCCCCTGGCCAGCAAATGAAAAACACAATTGTTAAATAAATATTCATGAACCGAACACGTATTCTGGGCTTGGTATTTTCTACTTATTTTTTACGAACTTTGCGATTGTTTGTCCTGGGTTTTCAGTGCCTTTTCCATTTTAATATACTTTCAACCTGGTAATTGAATTGAGCGCCTGCCGTCAAAAGTAAGCATAATGCGAGCCAAGTAGGGCCCGAGCCATGATTAGCCAAACAAATGCGGGGCTTTAAAGGCCAAGTTAATACCTAGGCGGATCCTTTCCTTCGCAGCTTATGAGGCAACCCTTTTTTGTGTTCGTTCTTTGTGTCCGTGCCAGGATACGATGAATGATAAGGAAAGGGTCGCAATTAGTAGGTGTCCTGCTGCCTGACGTCTGTTAATATCGAACTCGTCCGTCTGCTTTGATATTGGAGCACGTTCGGGGTCCGGTAATCTGGGGATGCCATTAAATGCCATGGGACATCAACAATTGGCATAGTTTCGGATTGGTTTGTTCCCAGAAGTTTTTCCATTCCCATTCCCCTGCCAGAGCATTCGATACGCCTGAAAATCAAACTACAATTAGGCGCAGAGTCCGAAGACGGAAATCTGATTCGGAGAAAAAGCGAAAAGAAGTAGGATTTCGGGGGGGGACCCGGAGTATTAGGCATCACCCACTGAGGCATTAAATGTCAGGCAGGGTTTTTCTTGAGGGGCAGCAAAAGGGGAGGGGGAGAAGGACATGCCCTCCATTTGTTTTTATGCTTATGCGGCAGAACTAGTCGCCGGTCCAATTTACCAGATTCCGCCGCTTCCCGGCCGTGAAGCATCGAATTATCTGCTATCCGGGCTTAACTAGCAGCAGGATAAATATCCTGCCGGGCAGCCCCATCAAACTGCTTTCGGCAGTCGGTGGCGATTTGTTTAATATTTAATGCACAACAACAGGGCTGCCCCGAAGAGGCATCCGGCACTGGGCAATGGACATTTTATAAAATATCGCCCCGGGGTCGGGCCAGACAAGTTTGTGGGCTTTTCTCGGCCAGCTCCTTTGTGTGATTTATTTAGTTAAGCTGTCCCAAATCCGAGCCATGCACAAATCCCTGGCCCACAAATTATGGAAACGCTTACGGGGAGAGACGCTGTTTCGGCCAACTATTTCAAACAGGCAGTCGGGGGGCAGAAGAGTGTCGATTCGATTGTCCGTCTGTCCGGCGGAATCTCATTCTCCGACTCTTTGTCAGCCGGACTGTATCGAATGAGACGCACGAGCGAGCAGTCCCAACGCCGAACCCGGATCGACCTGGGTGACAGTCACTTGACACATGGGGGTCCTGGACCTTTGCCAAAAGTGTTAAATCGGTTGCCACTCGGCCGGAAGGTGTGGACTCCGTGTCCACGGCAACCTCTGAGCCCATCAATATCGCGTATAAATCAGGAGCAGGAGTATTAGTAGTCGATACAGCAGGAAGCGAAGCCGGAGTTTGGCACTCACTGCTAATGAGTTAATTAGATGATTTAGTTGCCGCATTTTCGGCGCCACAAGGGCACATTAATTATAAACCCGGGCCTGAGAAGATGCTTATGAATTCCACATATTTACACACGCCTTTAATCGCAGAGCTGAGCCGCGGCAAGGAACGATTCCTTGGCATTGCGACTGATTGCTGGCTTCATGGTTACCGACACTCCAAGTTCAGGCGCGACACTGAAAGAAAAGCTGGAAAGAATATTTTACAAAGCTTTTACGAGTCATTAAAACTCGGAACTGGAATTGGGAAGCCAGTTTAAACAATAAAAAGTGCCTCAGGACTCTGAATCTCTTAGAGTTCTATTTATTTGTTATTTTGAAACCCAACTTAACGTGTATCTGAGGGCTCATTAAAAGCCACATTGAAACGCTTTGCGAATCCGTTGCGTGAGTTCATTAATCGCACCGATTTTATGGCCACAACCGCATCCTGCCCGCAATGGCGACATCTTGGGACTCTGCCAGCTGGCTGAGTGTTTTGGGCTTTGGGGCTGCCGCATAAATCGAGCGGAAACGAGGCAAAACACAGCTCTTGGGGCAAACGGGGAAACGGGGACTGGGAAGGGCCTGCGACTTGCATTGACCGTGAACTTTGACGAGCCGACCGGACGTCCTAATGACGCCCAGACAAACGTCTTGAAATGAGCCTGCACCGGGTAGAGTCCCTTCCAGCCAACCTCCACTTTCTTTCGCCCCACTTGAGCCAGTGCCTCTGACATGGCCCATCAGTAGCCTTGTCATAAGCCCCCTGTGCTGCAGTCTAGGATACGGATAAGAATCCTTTGCGCAGTGGGCGGCCAATTGTCCCAGATAGCCTTGCCATGCCCGCCTGTCTCTGCATTCCGTTTCCCAAACTAAGCTCCTTAAATTGCAACGAGCTTAGCCGCTTGCCATTTTTCAACGAAAGGCAGTCAGCTGAGCGTCGTTTTGATTACAGAAATTAAACAAAAAAATTAAATAAAAATAAGGGGGGAAAAAATCAAGTATAATGAAAATGAAAACTGTGAAGGAAGCCAAAGAGGTCCAAACAATTGGCTAAAAGTTTCGGTCTGGCCATTTTTGTTGTTTCGGGGGATGCAGGAAAAGTTTTGTTTGCTTTCCCATCCCAGATAGCCAGCCAGTGGGTGTATTTTACACCATCAACCGCCAGCGTCAACCGAATTTTTAACTTCATTTAGAACTCATTAAAAACTTTAGCATAATTGCATAAATTTGCAAAGTCAATGGCAAACTTGTCCAAGGCAGCGGCCAAAGATGAGCCTGTCCCAGGTCTCTTAAGTGGTGGGCGTTGTTAGGTGGCTTTTGGTGACGCCCACAAGCACCTATTGGAATCACTTGAAACTCGCCCGTTGATCCAGTGAATCCAGTGCCCACTTCTCCCTAATAAGCGGTGCCCAGCTGTTGGTGAATGCTAAAGTGTCTTAATTTGCTGCGAAGAGCTGTCTTTCAATAAATTCTGATTTAATATATGCATATTGCAGACTCCAAAAGGTCAATCGATTCCGTCTGACAAGACGCTTAAATATGAAAAAAAAACACTTAAATAAGACAATAAATAAAAATATATTACAACGAGAGATTCAAAATTAAAAGTAGTATATAACAAGAAAGGAAAGCTAACTTCGGCGAAGCCGAAGTTGATATACCCTTGCAGTTAAAACCGGATATATATCGCAACCATCGGATTTAGTTGGCCGATCCTTATGAAATTTGGTAGGTTGGATGAACTGACCAAAAATAGAATCTGTACCAAGTTCCAGCTTTTTATCTTCAAAAACACAAAAGTTGGGTCAATTCCGATCTTTCAGTTATATGGCAGCTATAGGATATAGTCGGCCGATCCTAATGAAATTTGGTAGGTTGGATTAACTGACCAAAAATAGAATCTGTATTAAATTCCAGCATTCTATCTTCAAAAACACGAAAGTTGGGTCATTTCCGATCGTTCAGTTATATGACAGCTATAGGATATAGTCGGCCGATCCTTATGAAATTTGGCACGTCGTATTGTTTTGCCAAAAATAGCTCTCATGTTAAATTTGAACTCTCTAACTCTAAAAACACCAAAGTTATACCATTTCCGATCAATCAGTTATATGGCAGCTATAGGATATAGTCGGCCGATCCCGGTCGTTCCGACTTATATACTGCGTGCAAAGGAAAGAAGGGTGTGTGCAAAGTTTCAAGTCGATAGCTTTAAAACTGAGAGACTAGTTCGCGTAGAAACGGACAGACAGACAGACAGACAGACGGACAGACGGAAATGCTCATATCAACTCAGGAGGTGATCCTGATCAAGAATATATATACTTTATAGGGTCGGAGATGTCTCCTTCACTGCGTTGCACACTTTTGGACAAAATTATAATACCCTCTGCATGGGTATAACAAACAGTGGTTGGAAGCAAAAAGTTGAATAAGCCACCCATTTATAAGATATACATATCTTCTATTTTAATTATACAACCTGTAACCAAAATAAAGGGCTTACATCACTGCAGAATTAATAAAAAAAGCTCAACATAGTCCCAAAACTCAAGACAAACTTTAAAATGTACTGTTATAAACAAGAAATGGGCTTATAAATAAAAAAATAAATACTAAAATATTTTCTATATTCTAGAAACTACATTATTTAATAGTGGATTAAACATTTTTTCCTTCAATTACTCCCCGCATTTTAAAGAATTTCAAAATCGAGACTTCGAGCTAATGTCAACCAAGATTCCTATTTTTTTTTTTGCCTTGTTTTTTTAAACAATTAATTTTAAATGATTATTTGCTTATATATTGCATTTTAGAATACAAATAATATTGGTACATTCAAATGATCGTAAATTGGAAAATATTAATGGCTGTCATATTTTTTTTACTGTAGAAAACAACTGTTCGCAATCCAGGAAACTTACATATATACATACATATACATATATTGTGAAAAAGTATAATAATATTTGAGGAATATTTTAAAATTTTAAAATAAAATTTGCGATTTTTGATACGTTTTTCTAGAAACAAAAATTATTAATAAGGCTTGCAGCATGTTCGACCATTTTGGGCTTTGACCTTATTTTTAATTACATATTTTTATTTAACCGAAATATACGGGATTGTACGGAGTTGTCGCAGGTGGATTTGAATATAAATGATTCATTCTTACTTATGGACTTGTTTTATTTTCGCCTATTAGAGTGGTGTCAGCCGTAAATATTTCCCCAAAATTCAAAGCTTTTAACCACTGTGCAAAAGTAACTACGGTGAACAAAAGCTCTAAAAAAGCGAATGTACTAAAACGACAAAGCTTTTAGTTCCTAAACCATTCAAAGTGAGCAACGAAAACTTTAAAATAAATATTTCAAACTCTTGACTTGGAAATCCTATAAGAAAAGTTTATTTTCTCTTATTTAAATAATCCTTTATTAGTAAAAACTCGAGAAAGAGAAAACATTTTAAATTTGATTTAACATGATTTGGTGTGTAGTTTATTCATCATTTAAATGTTCTATAATTTATACATACATATACATGAACTATTTACTTTCATTAAATACATATTAGTTCAACATTTATTGTTATACTGTGTTCATGATAATTAAGTTGTCGTTGCTGAAATGATTGGGCCGTATCATAGAACATGGAACCGGAACCCCTCTCACTCTTGTGACCAGAGACAACAAACAAATATATATATTAATTACGCAACTTTATGTAATATCCATTAATTTAGAGACAAGGAAACAATTATAGATCTTCATACTTTTTTAGGTTCTTCTTTCATCTATCATTTAAAAATGTTTGTTGCATTAAAGCATTGATTTTGCACTTAATATTCCACTGTTTAGTTGAGTTGCTGTACAAATTTTTCACAAGGATCGGTGCAAGGACATGGGCCGGGACAGGGATTGAACGGAGACCGGAAAACAGGGGCGGGGAGTTGTAATACTTGTGCGAACTGGTGTAACGTCTAACGTAAGAACAAACGAAAAAGAAACGATCGGGGAGAGCAAACACAAGGAGGCAATTGATTAATTTTTGTTGGAATGCTACGATTCTTTATGCGAAAATGATTAGATAATTTATAAACAATTAAAAGAGCTCACACTTAAAACCTAACAAAAATAGTAAACTTTAACAAAATGAAATTTCAGGACAGTGTGTTGGCGGGAATAACGACAATACGACAATTAAGAAGCAATTCAATTTATGTACATTGCAAGACGGTAATCTGACCACGATTTCAATACTAAAAACACGCACATTATTAGAGTAGGTTTGCTCGTTTGGACAATATTCAACTAGGCTTTCTTTTTTTATGCTACGTGGCGGTGCCCTGCGATACACAAATCCAGGATCTCGACGCAGGTAAGATATTTTGTGTTTGTATTGTGGTTTATGTATATATAGACGCATACACAGCGGATATTGCAGGTGGTGGAGACGCGCCGCACGATGCGCCACCGCCAGCTTAAATTATGAATGAAACAAAATTTTGGACAAAAATCAAAAACAAAACAATAAACAGGATCTAATGGCGCGAGTCCCTAGGGTAGAATTCGGCCAGGATGGAGGCCGGAATACGCTTCAGCATCTCCTTGGGGAAGATACGCAGCAGCTGCCAGCCGATGTCCAGGGATTCAAAGACAGTGCGGTTCTCGTAGTTACCCTGAAATGAAAATGAAAGCCATCAGATATAGTTCCACTCAGGGACTGCGGAATTCTATTTCAACCCACCTGCGAGATGAAGTTCTTCTCGAACTTGGTCAAGAACTCCAAGTACAGAAGATCATCGGGCGTCAGAGCCTCCTCACCCACCACAGCCTTCATGGCCTGCACATCCTTGCCGATGGCGTAGCAAGCGTACAGCTGGTTGGACACATCAGAGTGGTCCTTGCGGGTCATGCCCTCGCCAATGGCGGACTTCATCAGACGAGACAGCGATGGCAGCACGTTGACTGGAGGATAGATCTGTCTGTTGTGCAGCTGACGATCGACGTAGATCTGACCCTCGGTAATATAACCGGTCAAATCGGGAATTGGATGGGTAATATCGTCGTTGGGCATAGTAAGAATGGGGATCTGGGTGATGGAGCCGTTGCGACCCTCCACACGACCGGCACGCTCGTAGATGGTGGCCAAATCGGTGTACATGTAACCGGGGAAACCACGACGGCCGGGCACCTCCTCACGGGCAGCGGACACCTCACGCAGGGCCTCGGCGTAGGAGGACATGTCGGTAAGGATGACCAGCACGTGCTTCTCGCACTGGTAGGCCAAGAACTCGGCGGCGGTCAGAGCCAGACGGGGGGTGATGATACGCTCGATGGTCGGATCGTTGGCCAAGTTCAAGAACAAGCACACGTTCTCCATGGAACCGTTCTCCTCGAAATCCTGCTTGAAGAAACGGGCCGTCTCCATGTTGACACCCATAGCAGCGAACACGATGGCGAAGTTGTCGGTGTGGTCATCCAGCACCGACTTTCCGGGCAGCTTGACGAGACCGGCCTGACGACAGATCTGGGCAGCGATTTCGTTGTGGGGCAGACCAGCAGCAGAGAAGATGGGGATCTTCTGACCACGGGCAATAGAGTTCATCACATCAATGGCCGAGATACCGGTCTGGATCATTTCCTCGGGGTAAATACGGGACCAGGGGTTGATGGGCTGTCCCTGGATGTCCAAAAAGTCCTCGGCGAGGATTGGAGGTCCCTTGTCGATGGGCTTTCCGGAGCCGTTGAACACACGGCCCAACATGTCCTCGGACACGGGGGTGCGCAGAATGTCGCCGGTGAACTCGCAGAGCGTGTTCTTGGCATCAATGCCAGAGGTGCCCTCGAACACCTGGACGACAGCCTTGGAGCCGCTCACCTCAAGGACCTGGCCAGAGCGCACCGTTCCGTCAGCCAGACGAAGCTGGACGATCTCGGCGAACTTGGGGAACTTGACTTCATCGAGAATAACCAGAGGTCCGTTGACACCGGACACCGTCTTGTAGGCTGTAAATTATATAAAAATTAAAAACTTTTATAAGGGAAACTAGGCGAAGAAGTGCATATTTATATTATTAATATTTTTTAATTAGAAATCCAATCCTGATGATATTAATTTTTTTTACTGCCTTTCGTTACAACAAAAAGACGGGTCGCGCAACGCTCACATGAAAGTAAGAAGCTGATAAGAAAGCAAATGTCAGAAGAGAAGAAGCATGGGTGGGTGGCAAAGGGAGCGGGGAGAAGTATGTCAGCTGACTCTCTGACTCGGCCCTAGCCACGAGCAGCAATGGGAATCCAATAAGAAACAGATAACAATAAACGGAATTCAAAGGGAATCCTATTGGCAAAAGATAGCAAGAAAATGAAAATGTAAAACACACACACATGACAATCACAAATCCCTTCCACTGCAATTTTTTATATCATCTTTTTATGCAACTGTCGTGGGACCCAAAATTATATTACTTGCTAACTATTTTTTTCTAAGTACACTTATGTTAGCTAAGCCCCATTGATCTCAAAATTGAGGCAATAAATCGTGTAATCTATATTATCTATAGTTTTTGAATTATTAATTTGGTTTTTGGATAAAAAATAGTTAAATTACCGACCTCTATAAAGTTATCGCCCATCGCCACCCACCCCGTTCGCAGTCAGGTGCCTCGAACTGTGTGAATGGCAAAAGCAAAGCAAACAGCTGAGAGACTAGCGGTCATGTGACGATGAAAATTTTCAATCGCTAACTGGTTAATGAGGGGGTGCTCCCGAGTGTCACTATATAGACTAACGATCATCAATAAATCACTAAACTACAATTATATGCACTGAGGCCATGCCTTCTTTAGAATTTTTGCCTGTTTTTGTGGTGCTGGGTAGTTTTATTGATTTTTCTGTATTCCGCCTCACACCCAGATTCTTAAAACATGGCGGACCCCGAGACTTTCGTTACGGGGCATCTTTGCATTTTTTCACTCGATTAAATGGATCTTTTATTTGATAGTTCGTGAAAAGCGTGGAAATACTCACTCAGGCGAGGCTGGGAAATAAAGTCCCGGGAGACGGCGAGGACATGTTCCCGCTGAGCTTGCTGGGCGTTCATTCTGAATTTTTTTTACGCCTCTCTACCTTGAAAAACCACGGAAAATTTCGAGCTGCAATTGGACGAAAAACGAACGTCAATCTAAATTCTTTACAGTTTTCGCTGCGACAACCACACGTACAATTTTTCGACTACGAACAGTAATGGCGACACACGCAAATTTGGCCTGCGAAGTCGTTGAGAGTGCGAGGAAAAATCGCTGGAGCTGCAAAAATAACAGTGGGGCTCGAGTGGAGCTGGTTGTGACGTCACGTGCCGTCACATGACACAGGCGACAGGGATTTTTCCACAGTTTTTGGTATTTTTATGGTAAATCACTATTTTTAATGTAAAAAAGGTCATACTTCAAAATGCGACACGTTTTTCAAAGAGTGTGGCAACATTAGTTATTTTTTTTCCCCGAAAAAATAATAAACAAAAATGGACACACAGATGTTTCGTGTGCATTGTAACAAGTGCTACAAGCGTCCAGATGCTGAAAGTACAGTACCATTTTATCTGTCTCGTTGCCACCACATTCAGTGCAGCTCCTGCCTGCACGAAACTGCCCCGGACAAAAGGTGCGCGGTGTGTGAACTGCCCTTCTTAGGATGCCTTATAACCCAGAACATGCCAACTAACGTGGCTAACTACTTCGAGAATCCCAGGAGGTTCTTTAATTTATATAGAGATGTCTGCAAGTTTCAGGCTGATCAGAGAGCATCAGATAACCGAGGATTCCTACTGACCTTGAAAAAGTTTGAGGAGATGCAACGGCAACATGCCGCCTACCTCAAAATGGACACACAGTTTAGGGACCAATTAATGCTGGAGAAGGACCGCGTTGACAAAATAAACCACTACATCGCATACTACGAGCAAGTTACTGCGGATTTGGACCGATCAATTGCTGAAGACTCCTTATTTAGTTTCGACGATTTGGAAGATCGGCCCATCACTCCCCCGAACGACAGTTCCTCAGACAGCACGGAGTCTGAGAACACGCAGGATACCTTCGATCTGGACACGGAGATGAAACTGGCTTATAAGAAAAGCGGAAGGGAATCACCTCTCGAATTCTCTCAGAAGAGAATCATGAGACCTAGAATTCCTAGCATAGACCATGATGATTTAAATTTTTAATGAATGTAACTGATTTTAATTTGTGTAAATATAAGTAAGAATTTTATCTATTTTAAACTACATTGTTATACACTTTTCTTTCTGTGTAGGACATCATATGGAAGATCCATATATAGCCTCATTTTGTATTTGTCATTTGGTCACACTATCAAAACAGCAAATATTGTTCGTGGCAAAGAACGTAAATATTCTTAATATATTCTATAATATACGACCTCGGACATGCATGATATCGCTAAGAAGCCGGTTCACCTGGCTGGCTCCACCAGCACCGCCGAAAAGCTATGCTTTGACAAAAATGAGTTCATGAAGGTGAGAAATTTAGTTGAGAATTAGGCCTAACACTGCACCACGCATTCTTCAAACAGGCAAACTTTTCTGTGGACGAATTCCTGCACAAGAATCGCAATGCTCCTAGCCTGGAGCAGCTGAGGGACAACCTGGGGCTTTACTTAAAGGGTTTGCGGGCGGCGATGATCGACCTGATTAATGAGGATTACGCCGACTTCGTCAACCTGAGCGCTAATCTAGTTGGGTTGGACCAGTCAATTGAAACGATTCAGCGACCTCTTGAGCAATTCCGTGCCGACATAGAGAGCATTCACAGCCTGATTGACGAGAACGTAGCGGATCTGCGGGCCCAGTTGGAGGAGAAGCGACGGTTACGGGAATTTAAGCGTAGCCTGCAAAGCCTTAAAAAGGTGTACGAGACAACCACCAAGCTGCAGGACCTTATTGACCGAAAACTGAGCGACGAACAGCAATCGATTGAAGCTGTTGACTTGGAGCGCGCCGCTTTGGATTTAATTCAACTAAAGTTCCATGAGAAGCACTGCTCCCAGCATCTTAATGCCGAGCAGCAATCGAAAATCAAACACCTGGAAGATCAGCTGCATCAGCATTTGCGTCGGTTCTTCAATGAAGCATTGGGCCACGCCCGTAACTCAAATGCAGAACACTTGGAGCGCTGCCTGAGGGTCTATATAACCCTAAATGCGTGTTCCCAAGCAGAGATAGCCTTCCGCGAGGACGTCGTGGCCCCATATATGACCAGTGTCATTGGGGAGCAGCAGCTACAAAACTCTCCACAGGGTCTGGCAGGCATTTACAGCAAGATCCTAAATTTTATATCCCTGCACATGACGGACCTGCTCCGACTCACTCTCTACTCGGATAAGTTTCCCGGATTTAATTTTGTAGTAAACAGCTATTGGTCTGATGTGGAAACACGCCTCGAGCTGCATATGAACTCCATATTTGCGCCTGGCAATTCAGAGGTTTTCTACGTGAAATACAAATGCACCCGCGATTTTCTCGCAAAAATAGAGGAAATCCTAGCAAGCAGCGGAGAAAAGGCAGTCACCTACTATCGTCAGCACAAGCAAACAAAAAGTTTTGAGGCGCGCTGGAACCTTCCTGTGTACTTTCAAATATGCTTTCAGGTATTTCGTTATGATCCCCATTTGTTTAAACTACTTTTTCAAACCTATTAATCTTCCAGGAAATGGCCGGAAAATTTGAGGGAAAATTGGAGCCTGTCCTGCAGGATGACACACTGGTGGCAAGTCCCGACCAAAAATCATACAGACTGTCATCCTTCAATGCCGCAATCGACGCAATGTCGCGCTGCTGGGCGGAGGGGGTTTACCTGCCAGAGGTTTTCCCCAAATTTTACAAATTGAATGTGCAAATCGTGCTGCGTCTGTCCCGCTGGATCACAGATGCCATATCCGTTTCAAAGGGAAGCAGCTTTGCAAAGTCTTACACACGCCACCAACTACTGATCGCTCTGCATGCAGACATCCGTAAATTGGACGCACATCTGCCAGATCTCCAGCGGTCGATTGTCCAGGCAGTGCCTGCAGAGCAGCGCACAAAAATCTTTAACGATGTCTTGGGAAAGTCGATGGGAGCTCTGGCCGACACACTGGGCGCTCATTTGGCCAGCATCCAAAAGACGCTGGTGGAGCTATTAATCGGAGAATGCGAGACGGAGAACGTGCGTCAAGTAAACGACTTGCCGCGCTTGTATCGCAAGACTAACCGAGAAGTTCCCACCCGCTGTTCGGCTTATGTAGAGCAGATGCTTCGCCCACTGAAAACCTTTTCCCAGCAACATGAATCGCAGTTAGGAACTCTGGTGGTGGAGCAAATCCTAACAGAGGTTGCGAGTCATATTACCAAGGCGTAAGTTTCCTAAAGTTCAGTTGGAGGCTGTTTTCCTTATCTTCGCCGTTTTTTACTTTGCAGGTACTTCACCGTAGTAAGTGACGTTCTGACCTCCGTTCAAAAGACCGAGGAATCCCTGCGTCGACTACGAAATGTCAAGAGCGGCGGCTCTGCTCCAGTTGCGAACTCAGCTGTAATGTCCGACGATGATAAAATACGCGTCCAGTTGCGAGTGGATGTCACCTCCTGGAAACAAGAACTTTCAAAACTAAACTTCCAAGCCACCCAGATTGAAAAGCTGGTGGAACTGACTAACATGGTGGAAGATAGCATCAAGCTAAAAGATGCTAGTGCGTAACGCTTTCCAAAGAGGTCACTAAACATATACACTTCAGTTTATTCTTGTTAAACGATTTCTAATCGATTTAGGCACAATGACAGATTGTATTAGGACTACGAATTGTAAATAATATTTATATCATATATAAATGCATTAAATTTCACGATCGTTATTGGTAAATACGGGCGATTGCCGGGAATTTTCTCCAGAGTTAGTCGCTGTTGGAATGAAAAAGAGATTGCGAATATTTAGCGACAGTGCTTGTCAAACTGCAGCCGTTATACTGTGCAAGTACAGATAAAGAAAACTTTAAAACGGCAGGCAGGGGACCATGCAAAACTCAAGCTCGCAAAACAGTATATACAAGGCATTAAAGGTGCGTGGATATTAAGATAAAACGGAAGTCAAACAAAATGAGCAGGCAACTGTGGAATATGAAGCTAAGCCTCGCTACATTACAGTTTTAGTTCCTCCGTGTCGGGCAGCTTGCGGAAGAACCATTGCACATGTTCCTCTGTGACCTCAGCCAGCTGAGACGGCTGCCAGTGGGGCTTCTGATCCTTGTCGATGAGCAGGGCTCGCACGCCCTCTTTGAAGTCGCTGCGCTCCAGGTGACGCACGGCTAGGCGATATTCCATAATCAGGCACTGGGCCAGCGAAAGCTGGGAGCCAAGCTCCAGCTGGCGGAACGTGACCTTCATCGACGTAGGCGACACCTTGCAGAGCGTCTGAAATAGCATGGATCGGGTGATAATTTAAGTGCGCCTAGGTTTTGCGCGAAATCGTGCCGCGGCTAAAACAGATGCTAATTGCCTGAAATCGGTCAAATATTGTACGCTAAAAGCGCGCCAAACGTTGATTGGCCCAAACAATTAACATCTGATTCTATTCTTATCACTGAACCATAACTACCGGCTGCTCACCTCAAGTGTCTTCTTTGCCCATTCGCTGCCGTCGTTCTGCAAGTTCTCCAGGATGCCCTCCACCGAGTCCGCTGCAAAGTTCTTGTTGATTTGCTCCAGAACGGGTTCCAGTGAGAACGGCTTCTCCGGCTTCGAATGGAACTTTTGCAGCAGCTCCGGCACATCGTCCGCATCCGGACAGTTGAGTAGGGCGGTCTCCAGTTCGGGGATTTTGCTGCTCTCGCAATAATGCGAGGCAATACCGGCATAGAAGACATCTCCGCCCTTTAGCCGATAGCCTGTCAGCCCCAGGTACAGCCCTAGTTTGCCCTGAAGGCGCGGCAGGAAGTATGAGCCGCCGACATCCGGGAACAGGCCGATAGCCGTTTCAGGCATGGCAAACAACGTGCGGTCCGTTGCCACGCGATATTTACCGTGTACGCTCAGTCCGACGCCACCTCCCATGGTAATTCCATCAATGATAGCAATGTAAGGTATCTTGTAGTTTCCAATTAAGGCGTTGGTGGTGTACTCCTCCCGAAAGAAGCTCTTTGATTCATCGGTGGGTCCCGCCTCGACAAGGGCGCGTACGTCGCCACCGGCGCAGAAGGCCTTCTCGCCGGTACCCTTGATGATCAGAACGGACTTGGACTTCTCGCATTTCTTCAGATGCTTGTATATCTTTCGCACCATCTCCAGGTTGATGGCATTCAGCGCCTTGGGACGGTTAAGTATGATCATACCCTTGTTGGACGATTCCGTGGCCAGCACGGAGGACGAGGATTGGCGGGCTGAGAAGGCCATTGGGGCTCTTGTTATTCTTGTTGATACCGAGACTCCGCCGATTAGCGGCAATTGGCTGCAGGTGCGATGACCGAATGTGTACACGAACCTTTGAATGGGCCTCTGCTGTACACGCGGATTAGTTTGATTTGCTAAGTAGCCTCATTTTGGAGTATTTTAATTAGCATTACTTACCATTTTTAAGTGTCTGTTCTCACTGATCCAAGTTCACAAGAGTTGCGCAATAAGAAACCAGCTGATCCAGAAGCTGCCAGACCCGGAAGTAGTTTCAGGGTGTCCCGAACTTTTATTTAAACAAATACAACAAAATTGTAAATCAAGAAAGTAACTCACTTAATGATAAATCTTTTATTTAAAATAACAAATTTAAAAAAATGTTAAAATTAAAATTAATTGTTTTTAAAGAAATTTTATCAAAAAACTTTTAAACTCATTATGTTTTCTAACCATTATTGCTTTCCAAGTTGATTTTTGTTTTGGGTTTTAATTCCTTGGATTGGTGTCCAATGGAAAGCATAAGTTTGTGAAAACATTCTTTCTTTGCCATTCTGGGTAGTCTGGCAACTCTGCATTCAAGAACACTGCAGCCCTCGCACTTATCGCGATTCGCGAATAAGAATAAGGAAAACAAGCAATTTTTTGTGTGTAGTTAACTTTATCTTTATCTGTCAACAAATAAACGGTGAGTAAACACTTGTAATTAGCACGCACGGCACTGTCAGTTCAGTTCAGTTCGGCCACGGCCAGCAAGACGCTCGTTCTGCCATTGCCATGCCCCAGTTCTTTAAATTTTCTAAGCTTCGAACAAAGCGTCGTCGCTCATCTTCCGCTTCCTCTGTTTTTGTGTCCAAGCAGATGAACTATGATGGCTTGCTATCGAAGTTAACCGACGAGAAACTGATGATCTTCGACACCGGCGAGGGAACAATTGTGGAAGGCAGCCGGATGGGAGCGCAGGATTTGCCACTTGTGGAGGATGGAGCCGTCGAGGAGGAGCAGGCAGCTCCCATACAGACGATACCAAGAAATGTCTTTGCAGTTCCGCGCGTTCCCTCTCCAACGCCCTGTCCCTCCCCGTCCCCCGCTCCCGCCCCCGTTCCCGTGACCATGTCAGGTGCGAATTTGAACCTCAAGTCGGAAAGTGCTGCTACAGCAACGCCGCAACGCAAAATATCGACGTCATCACGTTTCATGAATGCCTTCAGTCAGCTATATAGTGGCGGTAACAGTAGCGGGGCCAGCTGTGGTCACGTGGAGCCAGCCCACAGTGAAGACCCCAACCGAACGCCCACCAAAGGTATGGAATCCAAGCTGGTGGCGATGTGGCACAACGTCAAGTACGGCTGGAGCGGAAAAATGCGGCAGACGAGCTTCTCTAAGGAGCAGCCGGTGTGGTTACTGGGACGATGCTACCATCGACGCTTCACGCCGCCAGTGAGCATGGAGAGCTCCACTACCGAAATGGATTCCGCGCCCGACAATGCTACCTCGGCGTTCGACAGCATACAAGCCACATCAACATCCACATCGCTGTACCCAACTTTAAATCCGCAAAACATTGACGAAATCGTTGTGCCGCAGGAGTTGGGAATGGATGCAGTGGAAAACCAAGTGGGTGAACATCCTTGGGAAGAGGGCATCGAGGGCTTTCGACGTGATTTTTATAGTCGTATTTGGATGACGTACAGACGAGAGTTTCCAACGATGAACGGTTCCAACTACACATCGGATTGCGGCTGGGGCTGCATGCTGCGGAGTGGCCAGATGCTTCTGGCCCAAGGACTGATTTGTCACTTCATGGGACGCAGTAAGTTTCTGAGTTCCTTATCTGAATTTAAAATAACTTGTGAATCTCGTAATAGCTTGGCGCTATGATTCAGAGTCGCAATTGCACTCGACCTACGAGGATAACATGCACAAAAAGATCGTCAAGTGGTTCGGTGACAGCTCCTCGAAGAGTAGCCCCTTTTCTATCCACGCCCTGGTTCGGTTAGGTGAGAACCTGGGCAAGAAGCCCGGGGACTGGTACGGACCTGCCTCTGTCTCCTATTTATTGAAGTAAGATTAAGAGTCTTTATTGCACTTGTTTATAGCCCTTTATTAATTTATTTTTACCCAAATGCAGACACGCCTTAGAGCATGCCGCTCAGGAAAATGCAGACTTTGATAATATAAGCATCTATGTGGCCAAAGATTGCACAAGTAAGTGAAACATACAGGAAAAGTAAGATTAGTTTTACAATCAATAACAACCCTTTGTGGCTCCAGTTTCCTTATCGTTTAGTCTTTTTGCGTATTAGAATATTTTGTTATTTTCGAAGGTTATTTTTTTTAAGCGCCGTTAATTAATTACTTCAAAAAGTTAAAAAGTTTCTGATTAGAAGGAATTCCCATCCATTACCTTTTAAGTTTAGAGTCCAATAGATAGCGGTCGTGACAAACCGTCACGAAAGTGAGTAATCGGACCTACCTTTTATTACTCACCTGGATTATTTGATAAGGTCGATTAAAGCTGATAACAGTGTTTCCGTGTTTTAGTCTACATTCAAGATATAGAGGATCAGTGTAGTATTCCGGAACCGGCCCCCAAGCCGAATGTGCCTTGGCAACAGGCGAAGCGACCGCAGGCGGAAGCCTCGAAGACGGAGCATCAGCAACACTGGAAGTCTCTGATTGTGCTCATACCGCTACGGCTTGGAAGTGATAAGCTTAATTTGGCTTATGCCCACTGCCTGAAGCTGCTCCTGAGCACGGAGCACTGCCTTGGGATCATCGGCGGGAAGCCCAAGCACTCGCTCTACTTTGTTGGCTTTCAGGAGGACAGACTCATCCACCTGGACCCGCACTACTGCCAGGAGATGGTAGATGTGAACCAGGAAAACTTCTCGCTGAACTCGTTTCATTGCAAGTCGCCCCGCAAACTCAAGTCTAGCAAAATGGATCCTAGCTGCTGTATTGGGTTCTACTGCGCCACAAAGAGTGATTTCGACAACTTTATGGAAAGCGTTCAACTGGTGAGTCAGCTTTGCCACTTTTACTAAAATGCTCTAAATCCCCTCCTCTGTTTTAGTATTTGCATCCCATGCGCTGCGCTTCGGGGGCCACAGTGGATAAGATGGCCGGATCTCAGCAGGTGCCCCCTCAATCCCTACAACAACTATCCGAGCAAATAGATATGAACTACCCCCTGTTTTCGTTCTCAAGGGGTCGTTGCTTGGACCACGAGCGTGATGAGATGAGCGATTCTCTTTATAAACCGCTCATCAAACAGGTGGCAAACATGGCGCAGGAACAGGGTGTTCAGCTGATGCCTCCGCAGGCACTCGATGACAATGAACAAGACGATAGTGAAAGCGAAGAGTTTGTGCTGTTGTAGATCGTTCTCATTTCTGTGCCCGTGTCCGTTCCTGATCCCGATCCCGTTCCCTACGTGATTATTATTAGCTGTGTTATTTGCTCAATATTATTTGATTTAGTTGCTAACCGCCGTTGCTCGCTTGCTCGCCTAGAACCGCTAGAAAAACCCAACAGACCCGTATCTCAAACACAAAGACTTTGTTATAATTTTACGCATACCCATGTAGTACATAGACCCCGTTCATATATCTTGAATATTTACCGATGTCCACGTTAATCTCTCTTTTGTTCGACTTTTTGTCGCGTTCTCGCATTCTGCCAAAGTTCTCCCTGATTCCCCGACAGCAGTCCCCACAGATGCGTCTGTAGATTACATAGTCTTATGTAATTTGAGGTATTATTATTTTAAATCATGAATCTTTAATGGAATTGAATCATTTTACAAAATGGTGCCACAACTTTGTCACTGTTCTCGCAAGTATTTCATGTAGTCCTTACGTTCTAGAACTTAGCTAATTTATATAAGCCGTCTTGTAATTGTTTGATCATTAATTAGTTTTAACATCAAATTGTATATACCCTCGATTAAATTAATAAATAAATTAATTATCCTAAACACATGATACACATAATCAGTTACCCTTGGAGGACGGGATACAATAATTACAGGGAGGTTTTGAGAAAGGTGACTACAATAAGTGTGTCATTTTGTGGTTCGTTTCGGGAAGTACATCTGATTGCTAGACTAGTGACCTAATACAACCTTATGTAAACTAGAGGCCAACCTTGTCATCATTTTGGTTATTCACTAACCCTTTTAGAGGGGGAGGGTTACTTGAAAAAATCATACAATAGGCTATCCTAACTTAGGCTTACTCGGTGGAGTGCCTTCGCTTACCTATGAGTGGCTTGGGCCTCCCGTTCCAGGCGCTTCAGAAGCTTACCGAGATTCTCTCGCGCCGTCGAAGCCCTTGCCGCGTTGAGACTTATAGCCGCCTGATATGCCTTAATTGCCTCCTCAGTTTTGTCCCATCGGTGGTACAGCACGCCCAAATTCGTGTGGTAGAGCATGTTGCGCGGTTCAAGCTCAATAACACGCTTGTACACACTCTCGGCCTCAATGTATTGTTTCAGCTTTCCCAGGACATTGGCGCGAATAAACAGGATGCTTACTTCGTGGGGCAGATGCTTCAGAGCCTGGTCGGACAGGCGTAGAGCATCCTCGTGAAGACCTCTGTTATCCAGCATTGTCAGGATATTCGCCCAGGCCTTGGGCTGCCGCGGATTCAGCGCAACCGCATGCTGCCAATGGTGCAGTGCCTCGGTGAACCGTTTCTGTTCGAGAAACAAGTTTCCCATGTTGTAGTAGCAAACGGCAAAGTTGGCCCGGTGCTTCAAAGCCTTTTCATAGCTGACCAAGGCCTGGTCATATTTTTTCTGCGCGGATTGAACGATTCCCAGATTCATCCAGGCCGCTGGAAACGAAGGGTATGCCTGCAGAGCCAGTCGAATGTATTCCTCAGCGGTGTTTAACTGTCCATGCTCCCGGTAGAGGTTCCCCAGATTCATTAAAGCTGACTCGTAGCTGGGATAAAGGTCAATGGCCTTGTGGTAATGAAGGAAGGCCTTTGTATTGTTGCCCGTATCTGTGGCCAGACGTGCAATGTTGTAATGGACTTTGGCGTTGTCGGGACACACCTTCAGGGCGGATGCAAATAAATTCTCCTCGTTTAGCCAGTCCGCCACGCGTTGGCGCGTTCGTAGCATCATCACAGTGAATAGTAACATTAGTAGAGTCCTTAAAGTCGTTCTCCAAATGGGTTTGTTGGCATTAGCTTCGTACCAGTGCAGAAATCCGTAGATGGACATGAGGCAAAAGCCAATGGAGGGTACATATAGTGTTCTCTCGGCAATCACGAATCCCACTCGAATGAGTCCCGACGCCGGTAGAAAGGGAATGATCATCAGACCCAGAGCTAGCATCATTCCCGGTAGCCGACGAAAGTTCATTAGGGCTACCAACAGAATGGAGTAGAATCCGATGACTCCCTGAAGTCTGAGGTCCCAGATGCTGGTCACCAGCTTGACACAACCCAGTGCCCAGTCGTAACAGAGCCAATAGGGACAAAGCATCAGCCAGATATTCATGACCAGCAGAAATTGTTGCGACAGTCCCCGGGTCAGTATGTTTGCATTGTGGGCTATAGGATTATCCACTTCCTTGAACGTAGGCGAATCGAAGTCCTGCCACCATAGGCGTGCCATTAAGAGTCCAACAGATGCAGCGGCATACACAAAGTAACTAGCTCTGGACTGTAAAAGCTTCCACTGGTTCCGAAACTCCAGAAGGTAATAACCATTCTGAAAGTAGTCGAGAAGCACGCAAGACATAGGAATGGTGACGGCCGATTCCTTGAAGAGCATCCCCGCAGCGGAGAGTAGCAAGACGAGACCGACACTTTGGGGACTGCTCTTGCCGCAATTAGCCACGGTAAGCAAAAGACATAGCAGGTGAATCATACCAAACATAAGGTCTGCTCGTCCCACGACTCCTGAGACCGCTTCCGTGTGGATCGGATGGGCGGCGAACAAGGCAGCCGAGATTATGGCCCAACGCTCCGCGGTGATCTCCGTAACATGCAGTGAGCGCACTAGCCGCCACATGAGTAGAGTGTTCACGCAGTGGAGTATGAGATTCAGAAACTTCATATGGCCGGCGCTTAATCCCAGCATGGCGTATTCGTAGTGGAACATGAGCGTAGTCAGCGGCCGGAAGGACTTGTGTGAATCGGAGCTGAGCAGGGAGGAGCCCCAGAAGTCGTGTGTAAATATTGCCGTCCAGTTGGTGGGTAGAGTATTCACATCCTTGTTCTTCACGATGGCCACCGTATCATCGAAGACGAATGTGGCACCACTTAGACCGCCGCATCCATAGCAAACTAAGCATATCAACACCAAAATCGCCTGGCAGACCATGCTGTGCAAGGCAGCATTCTGAACATAACCCAGCCGCATCCTGGCAGGGGTTTTAGTCCAACTCGAGTCACAAATTAAATTAATTTCACACCTGCCGATTGTTTGTATACATTTTTTGTTGTGGTTGTTCTTTATCAGGCCCCAGTGCTGATTTTTGCGAAAACGAAGCTAGAGGAACAGCCAAACTAGCCGGAAAAAAGCCAAAAGGTCATTTGTGGTTTGCCATTCACATGATTAGGCGACAATCAGCTGTGTCTTTTATTGAAAACAAATCACTGAAACTTAGGGAAACAGAATTTTCACGAAAATGTCCGAGGAAATCCTTTTCGACTGCCTGCATGCAGAGATTGTTAACTACTGCCTGGACGGAAACAAGGTGGGCGAGCATAACTTCAAAACAATCTTTAAAATGATAAAAACTTCGGTTCCGCCTCCTAGGAGCACGATCTCGCCACACTGGAGTACATAGGCTTCACCACGGGATACCGGTTGATTGAACGGCTCACTCGCGAAAGTCCACGGTTCAAGGACGAGCTAGAGACCATGAAGTTTATTTGCACCGACTTCTGGACGCTAATCTACAAGAAACAGGTGGATAATCTGCGGACAAACAACCATGGCATGTACGTGGTTCAGGACAAAGCATTCCGATTCCTCACCCGCATCTCGCCGGGCACCAAACAACTGGAGCACGCACCGAAGTTTGTAGCCTTTACATGCGGGCTGGTGCGAGGAGCCCTAAGCAACCTTGGCATCAATAGCACTGTGACAGCCGAGGTTCAGAGCATACCGGCCTGCAAGTTCCACATAGAAGTAAATAGGAACTAACTAGGAAATAAGACAAGAGTTTATTGCTACAATTATAGATACTACACGCTACCCTAAACTATTTTTTCGTAAAACGCTACAACATTCCGATCAGTCCAATTGAGACGTTCCCTTAAGATCCACTCGTCGTTGGGAAATTGCGGCTGGAGAGGATTCGGGTCTGTATGTATCCCAAGGGTGGGCTGTGGTCCAATTAATATGAGCCACTTGCCTTGAAATACTCGCAGATAGTCCAGAAAAACACCGCGATTGTTAAAGTAACAAAATAACAAGGCACTTGGGGAGAACCCTTTGCAGCAGGCTTTCAGAAAATCTTGGCTTACATCATTAGTATCCTCAAAGAAGTTTAAGGGTATGAAGCTTCGCACGGAGTACTTGCTCTGCCACCAATTGCGATCGACTTCGAGACCAAATATCGAGACGTTATGACTGCCTGCTGTGGCAATTAGCCATTCTAGTAGACCACTGCCGCAGCCCACACTGAGGATGCACTGGATACCGTTGCTGGTCAGGAACTGATTGAAAAGGTCCAAGTTCAATGATGTAGGCCACACCCAGAGCAGCTTCCGCTTAAGCTGCTGGTCCAGACAATCGCCCAACGCCAGCAACTTCCGCCAGTTGCCAGCGACACCATCGGTTAGGTAATAAATTTCCCGCAAGGTATCGACTTCCGATCGCTCGTCCAACATATTGAATACTGAAAGGGTGGCAGTCGCGGAATAATATGTTTCTTCTTCTAATGCCCGGCGGAACTTGGCATTGACGTCGATCGGCACGCGGAAATATGGCGAGCGGCCAACAAGATGGTTTCGGTTCGCTTCGGCTTTTAACGCTTTACTTGTTGCTAATAAATCAACAGGCCCTGCCGAGAAGGGACATCATAACCAGTTTATCAGTTGGTGTGCTCATTTTCGTAAAAGCATTTGAAATTCTTTCGCCAGTGCATTTCACTAAAATTAGCATCCCTGGGCTGTCGGTGGTGCAATGGCGAATCTTGCACATTTTGTGCAGCGTCCGATTCGTCCAAGCTCAGCTCGTTTGAATACTCCTCGTTATCCAAATCCAGGATTATTTTACGATACAGCTGCACATTCTCTTTAGGCATGGTATCTGGCAGTGGCAAGGGAGTTTGCGCAGGGATATTCTGTTCCAGGGTCATAGGTTGGGGAAGATGAACCGCCACGGGCTCAACATTTCCCACGCTCTTAATCACGCTATTGTATCTAAGGTTTTGGGCAGGTAGTGTGATTTCCTCCGCAACGGCATTATTAGTTAATATTTCCACATTGCTTTCAAAAGTGGTGCCGGGGTGCATCGAGCGAAGGTGGCGGAGCATGTTGTCCTTCCGACTCACTGTTATGTCGCACTGTTTGCATCGATACCTTTCGCCAGTCTTATGCTGTTTTACATGCCTCGCCAGGGCATCCGTATCATTGTAGCTCTTGTCGCATAGCGGACAGGATTGACGCTCGCGCGCCAAGTGTCGTTTCATATGCAAACGAAGTGTGGTCTTGCGGAGGAACGACTTCTGGCAATCTTTGCACTTGTGACGGGTACTTTTTTGGTCGTGCTTCCTTGAATGCTGCTTCAAGTTGGCCTTGGTTTGGAAGGATTTCGAGCAGACATCGCACTTGAAGGGCAATCCAAGATCGCTGTGCGTTACCAAGTGAGATTTCAGAGAGCTCTCACTGCGAAACACCTTCAGGCACTGCTGGCACTCGTAGCGCTCCTGGTTGTGGGTGCGCAAGTGGCGTTGCAAGACAACGAGTTGCTGGAATTTCATCCCGCAAATATGACAACTGTGTTTCGATGACTGCTCATGGTTGTTCATGTGGTACTTTAAGTGTGAACGGGTGGCGAAGCGCTGGAAAAAACAATATACATACATACATTGTGGAAAGTGTATAATCAGTGATTTTGAACACTCACCCGACTGCACTCTTTGCAGCTAAACTTCTTGAGAAGATCATCGCCACAGGATAAGTGGTAATATTGGTGAGTTCGACTTCGGAAGTCTTTCTTACACACCGTGCAATGATAACCATGATCAGTGACTAGGATCTTCTGGTCCAAGGACGTTCTTTGCGTCGCATCCGCCTGTTCTGGAGCTGACTTCTGCTTGGCCACTTTGCACTCCAGGCAATCCGACACATCCGCAACCAGACAGAGCCGGCATTTAAGGTGGCCGCAGCTTTCGGTTACCAAACGATTCTCTCCAGTGGCCTCGCAGCTGCATCGCGGGCACCTATTCATTTTTTGTGAGGAGAACAAGTTACTGCAACTTGCAACTGCAACGTTTCTTCTTCATTAAATCAGCTGTGGCATCCATTCACCGTGAAACGTAAACATACATAGCTCTGTTAACTCTCAGGCGGCGTTAACATAAAAACCTTTTTTAAAAAACTGCATGATTTATTTACGGATTTGTTATTTACTTTTTAACTTCATAGTTCTACATGTCTTGTATTTTGACAACTTTGAGCTTAAACCTAATGGTTTAGAAAATTCTTATATACGAGTATAATACGAGCCGAGTTTTTATTATTCACACATATTTTCCAGCTCCAGTCCGGCGACATGACCGGGGAACAGGTGGGCCTTTTGCATGGGCACCTGCACAAAATAGCGATCGCAGAACTTTGGATTCTGCCGGAAAAGGATCTCTGTCAGGATGGTGCTGTAACTGACCTTCTTAGTGATCAGCAGTCGTCGGATCTCTTTAGTGCCGTAGCTATTGGACCGCAATCCAAATCGGCTGGCCATTCTGAGAAGATAAATGTCTTAGAAAAATAACATAAAAAGGGTTTCAAGCGCTTTACTGGTGGAACGAGGCGCGTTCTTCTTTCGAAAACGTCGGCTCAAACTGCATGTCGCGCATGTCATCTGAATTAACATAGTTCTCTATTAGTTTGCGGTAATCGTCCAGGTTACCATGCTGATTTTTAGCGCCCAGGCCGGTGCGATTGTTCTTCAGTAAGTATCTGCAAAAGAATGAGTCAAAATGTTTCATTAGATCTTCTTCTAGAGCTTACCCCACAGGCTCCTCGCGCCCCTGCTTTTGGCTTCCCAAGCCGCCACCTGTCCAGCCCATCAGGCGCATCATGCGGTATCCCTTGTTGCTGGCGTCTAGCTTGGAATCCCCAAGACTGTCGGCAGACTCTTTGGTAACGTTTATGTTCACGCCGGTCTTACTCTTCTCCACCTTTATAGTTTGGCGCGAGGCGTTAAGCTGGTGAAGGGTAAAATATAAGTATTATATCTGCACGGTTTCTTCTTTATTTACCTTAATGCTGTAACAGTGTGTCTGCAGTAGGAGAAGCGCTTGCTTAACGGCCGCTTGCTTGGCCGCCTTCAGATTCTCACCCTGGCCAGTAGCTATAACCTGGTCGTTAACCAATACTTCGGCGTATTTCGTTGTGTCTGTTGCCTGGAGCTCTAGACTGGCGCGTTCGTCGTATTTCAGGTTGCTGGCTGTGCAGGAGTTACGAAGACAACTGCGCCCTCCGGCCAGGTACAAAATAAGTTGTCCGAAGCGCAGACCCTCGAAAAGATTGATAGGCTCGCCACCGCCAAAGCACAGTCGTGAGTCTTGGTTGGATCTTCTTGAGGCTTGTGCTTCAGGTGGCGGATTTGCCGTTGCGCCCCTGCGTCCTAGTTGTTGGAATTAGGCATTAGGCAGGCTGTGTTGTCTCTGGCTCGTATAGTTACTAGTAATATAAATAATTTTCTCCCACACTAGTCTATCTAATTATTCTTCCGTCTACCTTTGGCGCGCTGTTCCGCCGCGTCCGAGGCCGACACAAATGTGCGCTTCAGGCGTTGGTCTCGCTTGCGCCGGAACTCCTCGGCGATCTCCTTGGACATTTCAGCCACGAGGTGCATCGTCTCGGAGGGGTACTTGCAACCCAGGAACTCCATGTTAATAAACGTTTGGGCCAAGCACACTAGGCGATCCTCGTCGTAGGTATCCTTGTGGGCCAACATGAAATTGCGGCGCAGCTCCCAGTGCTCCTCGCTCTCGTACTCCGTGCGGTAGCTATCCACGTCCCAGCCCCCCGAGAAATCTCCTGAGCCATAGCCGGCGTCGGTCTGCTTTTTCCCTTTTACTTTCTTCGGTTTCGCTGTTTCAATGCTTTCAACCTGTTCATTCCTTTGACGTTTCGCCTTGCTCGCCATATTTTTGGGTTTCTGGGATTTTTTGAGAAAAACAAACCCACGCCGTCTAAGTGTTGGACTCCCGTTATCGGCATTCACAACGAAATGCGGGAGTCCAACTGTGATTGCGAGTTGCCCATCCCTATTCATCGTGCGTGTTCGACCAGCTCTAGTGCCGAGTGTGTTTTTAAGTTCCTGGTTTTAATTCATGATTTTTTGGTAACTTGATTATAATTAGTAGAGCGACTAACTCAATCCAGAAACTAATAGTCCAAGTGTCTCCATAGCTGCCAGCTAAGAGCTTAAACTTGCGAGAAGCTAGCCAGCAGCCGAACCTGAACTGAAACTGCCAACATGAGCATACCCAACGAATACATTGCCAAAACGGAGGATGTGGCGGAACAGGTAAGAAATATTTTCGAAAACAGTGAGCGGGACACACACTCGGACCTGTTGAGGCGCCAGCAAAGTCACTCTGTCCTCGGAGTTTCCCCCACATCGGGTTTCTACCGGAGAAGCTCTGCCAGCTGCCCTGTCACAAAACTGCCAACGTCACCCAAACGCGGCAAAGTTCACGAGCCTCGATAGGCTACGTTTTAATGTAATCTGTGTTCTCTGGTTACGTGCAGTGATTAGATTCCAATAGGAGGCGGGAACACCCCTGATTCTATCCCGTTCTCCAACTCCAGACACCCAATTGTCAATTGTTGCGTCTACAGCGAGCAGAACGCACACACAGGAATGGCGCCCGTCTGTGGGTGTGTGTGAGAGGCGAGAGCTATCCCCGCAAGTGAAAGTGCTTCGAGAGAAAGAGTGGTCAGGGGCAGACGGGAGGCTTAGCGGGGTTGCTGGACGCCACCGACCAGGTCGAGTTCCGTAATAGTCTTCGAGAAAGCGGGCGGCGTGCAGTGGTGTGCGTGCTCGCTATTTTAGTTGCTATTCAAATTACATGGAGCTACCAAAACCCGTTAGCGGGCAGATAGCGATCGAGTAGATAGAGAGAGCCCCAGAGAGAGACACGTCACTGCACCGATTTCCGAAAGCCCCGCTCGTACGTTTCGATCTGTTATCACTGTACCGAAGTCAGGTCTTCGGTACATCTTATCGGACACTCCATCGTGATGGCACTAAATTTAACAGTCGATGCCACTTCGCCACTATTTTGCAGGTTATCAAGCGGGGAAAGAATGTGCTGCCGACGGTGGCACGCCTCTGCCTCATCGCCACCTTCTTCGAGGACGGCCTTCGCATGTACTTCCAGTGGAATGAGCAGCGCGAATACATGGACATGAGCTGGGGATGCGGCAAGTTCCTGGCCACCGTCTTCGTGCTTGTCAACCTGCTGGGTCAGTTGGGCGGATGTGGCATGGTGATGGCCAGGTTTAAGGTCGACATCGCGGTGGGTCTGCTCTTCTTCATTGTCGTGCTTCAGGTAAGTGGCTACCTCTCCCGTGGAAGACCATTACTCAAAAGGCTTACTTACCCCTCTGCAGACAATAGCCTACTCCATTCTGTGGGATTTCCAATTCTTGCTGCGGAACTTTGCTTTAATAGGCGCTCTGCTCCTCGTCTTGGCGGAAGCCAGAATCGAGGGTCGCAGCTTGTTTGCCGGCGTGCCATCAATGGGCGATAACAAGCCCAAGAACTTCATGCAGCTTGCCGGTCGTATCCTGTTGGCGTTCATGTTCATCACCCTGATCCGATTCGAGTTGAGTGTGTGGCAGGTGATCCAAGACATCATTGGATCTATTCTGATGGTGTTGGTCGTACTCGGCTACAAGACTAAGCTGTCGGCCCTCATCCTGGTGGCCCTGTTGACGGTGCTGAACCTTTACCACAATGCCTGGTGGACTATTCCGTCCTACAAACCACTCAGGGATTTCTTGAAATATGATTTCTTCCAGGTCAGTCAGCGGTATAATTGCACGCCTTTGTATCTCGTTTAAACCTAATCAATCTTCCAGACACTCTCGGTTATCGGCGGTTTGCTTATGATTGTGTCCTTGGGCCCTGGAGGCGTCTCCATGGACGAACACAAGAAGAAGTGGTAGAGGGGTCGACAAACTGGAACTCCTTTAGCGAAACACTTGCAACAATTGACTTTTACCGTGTTTTACTCTTTCCGAGAAATATAGTTAGGATTTACCATAAAATGGAACAACAACAGAAGCAGCATCAGCAGCAGCACAACGCCGGCACGTATAAGAACTTGACAAATTTCAATAAAGGGACTTCCACAATACCCTCTCCCTGGCTTACTCGTAGGACACACCCGCCCCTCCCACCATCATTCGCGCACATTCAACTACAGACTTCGACTACATTTAAGACATTTTCTTTTTGTACATAACGAAAAAAAGCAAAACAAAACAAAAGCGTGGCCCGTTTTGTGCCCTCCAAAAAATGAGAGACGTAACTGATTTTTGTACCTTTTGTCAAGATCCGTATGATTTTCGCTGTTTATTTTTTTATGATTTGTACGCCCTTATGAATAAGTTGTAATCCTTGGTGTTTGCGTTTTGTTGTTTGATAGAGGTTCGAAAATGAAAACAATGTATAAAACATGATGTGTGTACCAATTGACAATGATTTGTTTCTTTCGTTTATAAGCAAAAGTGTAATAGAATTAAATTGTAACGTTTTAATAAACCTAATGAAGAAAACTCCGCCTGGCCAATTTTAAATCCGGCGCTCAGTTCCGTTCGAATGGCAAACGCGGCCTGAAGAAGTTTATCAACACTGGCTGCAAGCTGATACTCATAAAAAAAGAAAGAAAATAACTTATCAATGAGCCAGCAGCTGCTCGGCTTTAAATGAGTATGACGACCAAACATAACAGACATTGCGAGTTTGGGCTTCCAAGCGGACGGACGAGATTGGCTCTTCCCGGGAAAGGATTAGTGCCTGTTCGCGAGAATTACAAGCTCTTCCACCGCCTATTCTAATCAACAACTACAACGTGTGGGCGGTAATGTATCAATCAAATCAAAACACTGCCAACGTTACACTATCCAAATCGTTGTGGAAGAATTGCGCGATATGTGTAACGTAAGCAAAAGGCCAAAACGAAAAGAGTGAGCGGAACTTGGTCAAAAACTAGTTTTCACTTTCAACGATACAGTGAATACTCCCTAAGGAAATTGTTAAGGGGAGGGTAAGGTATTAAATTTTTTTTTTTTTTCATTTTTTTTTTAATTTTTAAATTGAATGCATAATATTTGAAGAATATTGTGTCAAAATTTCAAGTCAATTAAAGCAAAATTGACGAAGTTATTAGTTATTGACGAAGTTGCTCATAAACGTTTTACACTGGATTACACTGGTGTTTAAAACTTTAAAGCGTTTTTCCCACAACTCACGTTTTCAAAGTCGGTGCCCCTCATAACTTCAAAACTACTGCACCGATCCTTTTGAAATTTTAAACACTATTTCTGTACATATTTTACGAGGTAACGCTGTCGAGTTTTTTTTTTTTTTGTTCATAATTTTGATTTTGCAATGACAAATTAACCGATTTTTTCCCAAAAAATTGAGTTTTTCACTTCAAAGTCTTTGAAAAAATAAAAAAATTGAAATTTTCAAAAAATCTTCACAGCGTTACCTGGGCCGAACTATTATCTAACGAATGAATTTTCATTTTTTGATTACAAATGATCCAGCACCGAGTTATGAGGGGCACCGCAATTCAACTTTTTTTGGCGACACGTCCGGACAATTGCTACCATTGCCATATTTTTAAATATTTTTTTGTAAAAATTTGATAAAACATTCTTCTAATGTCATACTTTAATATACCGTTGGTTGAATAAATAAATTTTAACTGTGTCGTCAGGAAAAAAATCACAAAAACATGGCTTTTTTCGCATGATTTGACCTTACCCTCCCCTTAAAGGAAGCTCCATTTTCCTGAATAAACAAAAAAACAATCTAAAATGTCAATATGAATTAACAAAAATGAAAAACGAAAAGGTTTTTTTTAGAAATAATTAGTGTTTAAGTGTGCCACTTAAGAACTGCGTCAAATATCTTTAATTACATAAAAATATCTTTAACAAAGGATGCAAGAACTGCCCAAGATTCTTATGCACCAAAGGACGAAAGTATATTTAACAAAAAAAAAAACCACCACCTAGACCACCCAAGGGGCAGAATTGCATTCTTCGCGCGCATGCACCTCTTGCTGTGTTACCTATTTCTGGTCTCCATATTATAGTATTTTTCCCCTTTGTCAGCAGTTACCTGCTCGGTGTTATTCAAAAATTTTAGCAGTAGAATATTTCTATGAGAAATTCGAAATTACTTTTATAGTTTCATAGGTTTGGCTTTAGTTAATTTCTTTTTACTTCTATCGTAAACACAATGGTTTTTTAGCAACTTGAATCGGTTTTACTCCTCCCAAATGTTATTTGTGGGCTTACGAAACCCGATAAGATTATTGGGCTAACAACCTGTTGGGGGGTACTGTGAACAATTAATCGTGCATATTTTTATTGTTTAATTGCGCTTGTTTTATTTGCAGGATTTTAATCGCATTCGCCAGCAGCCACATTCCAGTTGGAGCCGCTCAAACAGTGCACTAAATAAACCAGAATGAAATATTTCGGCGGAGTCGAGGGGTACGTACAAATCTAATTTTGTAATTCAATATCTCCCGGCGGTGATTAATGAGTGTGATTCAAACGTGCGGCCGTTATCCACAACATCTGCCAGACAGGGAGTGCTTCAAAAGATTCCCATGCTCGATGATAAGCTCAGAGCTTCAATAATGATAACAGAATGGTTCAGAATGTGTTGGGCTAGGCCTTGATGAACTTGACCAGCTTGGTCTCCGGTATTCGCTTGTTTCGTGTGATCAGCTCCTGCCCATCCATGAAGGGTCTGAGCACGGTGGGTATCTCGACGACATCTCCACGCTGATACGATTCCAGCAGGGCAATCAGCAGGCGGGGAATAGCCGTCGCCGTTCCGTTGATGGTGTGAGCGTCGACGATCTTTCCGTCGCTGGCTCGGCGATATCTGATCCCCAGCCGCTTGGCCTGATAATCCGTGCAGTTGCTACAGCTAGATATCTCGCCCCACATTTTGCGACCCGGCATCCAGGCTTCGATGTCGTACTTTTGGTACGCCGGAGCCCCTAGCTCGCAGGGTGGCATGTCAAGCAGCCGAAAGTTGAGACCCAATCGCCGGAAGAGGTCCACCTCGGTGTCCTTAAACTCCTCCAGTTCAGCCTCCGACTGCTCCGCCGTGCAGATTGCAAACATTTCCACTTTGTTGAACTGGTGCACACGGTAGATTCCCTTCTCCTCTTGCAGTCCCGAGGTCTCGGCCCGATAGCATCGACTCATGGCAGTTACTTTGAGGGGCAGTTGCTCTTCCGTCAGTAGTTTGTTCGCAAAAAACCCGGCCAGGGCCATTTCAGAGGTGCCCGATAAGCATTCTCCGGTGTCCAATTTGTACACTTGAGTTCGTTCCCCTTCGGTGCGCATGCCACAGGACTCGATTACTTCGCGCGGAAGAATGTCCGGAACCGAGATCAGCTTGAAGCCATGTGAGGTGACGGCTTGCAGCGCATACTGGATGATGGCCTGCTCCAGGGAGGCCAACTGACCCATAAGATAATAGCTCTTGTGCCCGGTGTAATTGCCGAGGTGATCCATCCTGTACAGGTTTAGGGCACGGGCTATTTCAGAGAATTCCTTGATGGTTGTGTCTGCAGGAAGTTCCCGGTGCTTGTACTGTGCCAGTTCCCGTGGTTCCTCGCCATAATCCAGAACCCGGGGGTGTGTTTTATTGGGCAACTGTTCCAACTCCAGTTGTAATTTTGTCAGAATGTCCGGACTCCCATCTGCAGCTTCGTTGGCGAGGGTACGTATGAGGGGTATGTTGTTTTTGTGGTGTCGCAGCTTCACATTCCGCTCCAGCTCATCCAGCTGGGCACTAGTTGGAACCGGTTGCCTTGGCGGATCCAACGCCGGGGCAGCTTTTGTGTCATGCGACCTTTGGCGGCGCAGTAGCAGCAGTGGACGCAGCCGCACAGCGTTTGTCAGCAATTTCATTTCAATTAACGCGTCGCGTGTTACGGTCTTAGGTCACTTCGGAGCAAAAACATTCAATGTTTTTGTAGTTTGTTAATAATTTCTGGCCGGCTGTTTGGTAACCCACTGCCACAAGTTGGCAGCTCCCGCAATGTGGGGGGAAAGACTGCCAACTCGCTTGATGTTTTTACGTCACAACTAGAGCGCCAATCAAATTTATACTTTTTATGACTTAAATAAATTGGACGTAAGTTAAAATTAGTTGTGTGGCATTAGCAAGCGCCTTTCCTGTGCCTGCCTTGTCCCGTAAATGATTGCCACAATTGAGCGTAATAAGCCAGTGCATTTTCCGACACCACTTTTCTTTTGTTAAGTGCATTGTGCGATGTAACGGTCCTGTGCAAATTCTTAAATATACATTTTAATATAATTTTCATGTCCGATTGTAAATATTCACACTTTTCAAAACTTTATAGCTTATCCAATGAAAATTGTTGTAAGTTTATGCATTGCACGTTTGCGTAAAAAATATACAAAAATGCAATAACATTTAGATTTAATTGAGTAGCTTTGCGTAAAGCATTTATACAATTTACAATTAAATTTATTAATGGAAGTAACAATAAGAAATAGCATAAAATATTTGTACTTGTTTATTATTCTTTCGTTTTTAATTTATTTAACCCTAAATAACCTTAATTAAATAAAAATCCAATTATGAGTTTTTTGGCTTCAAATAGTAGCCCTCTGGCAATCAGGACAAACTACTTTTTTTATGTTTTGAACATTTTTTGAAAAAGTATTATGGCTTTAAAAAATATTATAGAGACTTCAATTTTTGTGTAATAGGGCCCCTATGTTCTGGCATTAGTTTTCTCAGAATTCAGATAGGATTCCAAGAGTGAAGACAATACCCTACACCCGCATGGAATAGCTTCTATGGGAAACCGCGGGCTGCCATGCCTTGTCTATTTCAGTTTGTGCGTGTGACACGTTTTCTTTAAACGACTGACAATTGTGGTCCGGTCCTCTTCAATTTCTCAATTTCCAGACGCCAGATCGGTTAATTTAATTTAATTTAATGGCGTAATTGTTTGCGGTCACGGCCCCTGGTCACAACACAGCACCTATTGTGTAACAATTATGGAAATCCGGAAATAGATTGAAGTCCTGGTTCTGAAGAAATTACTTCATTGTTAAATAAAAAAAAATAAAAATTTTTAAATAGACCGCTATATATATGATATTATACGATTTTACACTATAAGTGAATGCTCTTTAATTTTGCAGCGGTGCCACGCACTCCCGGCTGGTAATCTGCGATGAAAGTGGCCAATCTGTGGGCGCCACCAGTGGCTTGGGAACAAACCATTGGGGCATCGGTATCCCAGAGTGCGCCCGACGCATCGCTGACATGGTGGAACGCGCCAAGGAAGAGGCCGGTATCCCAAAGGAAACTCCATTAACCAGCCTGGGGCTCAGCCTGAGTGGTTGCGAGCAGGTACGTTCCTTCCTCGTTTTATACAAAAATGTCCTTTTACAGAACTTGAACTCACAGGAGGCCACCAATCTCGAGCTGGAACAAGAACTACGGACCACATTCCCAGACCTGGCTCTGAGTTACGCAGTTTCCAGCGACACTATGGGCAGCATGTTCACCGCGTCCGCCATCGGCGGAATGGTCCTCATCTCGGGCACCGGATCCAATTGCCTGCTGCGTAATCCTGACGGCTCCACTGCCAATTGTGGTGGCTGGGGAAACTTCCTAGGAGACGAGGGCAGCGGTGAGTGCCAACTAATCGTTATCATTATCAGCTAACTATATGTTAATGCCAGGCCAATGCCGAGATTAACAGCAGTTGCGATTAGGATTTTCCGATAGCGTTGATTGCCACTGACTCATTGCCACTATTGTTGATGATTTTATAATTTATGAATGCAAACTCCATCCTTTCTCCGCAGCCTGGTTTATTTCATATCGTGCCGTAAAGGTGGTATTTGACCACATGGACAACTTTGAGACGTCACCGGCACCCGTGGATAAAACCTGGGACCTGATCAAGGACCATTTCAACATCGATACGCGCTACGATATGTTGCCCCACTGTTACGCCAAATTCGACAAACCCTTTTTCGCCAATCTATGCAAGAAGCTGGCTCTAAATGCTGACAATGGCGATGAGCTGGCCCTTGGACTCTTCCGGGAGGCTGGAGTACACTTGGCCCGAATGATCGTGGCTCTGCTGCCTAAAGTGTCGAAGGATCTGGTGAAGTCTGGCGATCTAAGCGTGGTGTGCGTGGGCTCTGTCTGGTCCAGCTGGAACCTATTGAAAGATGCCTTTACCGAGGAGCTGGCCAAGACGAATATAAAGTACAATCTTAAATTGGTTCGCATCACCAAGAGCAGCGCCTACGGTGCCTGTTATTTGGGAGCTGATAATGCTAAGTTCAACTTGCCTCGAAACTATGCGGATAATATCACTGTCCTGCATACCTACACAGATCCCGGAACGGCGGCGAAAACGACTAATGGAGTCAAACCGCCGGGATGCTGTAAATGTAGAGAGTAGTTTTATTAAAAATTCTTTTCAAAATAAACATTTAAATTGCCAAACAAACACGCATCCAACCATTTAGTGTGCCAAAGTCAAAAGACATTCCATTGGGTTTGTTAGAAATACGTATGAAAATTTTATTCGATAATGTTCATTGTATTAAGTGTATGTGTCTCAATGCTGGCCTGTCTGCTGTCTTCCATCCTCGTCCGTATATGTAAGCATACATTGTTCTGCATCTATTTTTTTAATACTTTGATTGTATTTAAAGCCAATTCGTTTTATTTTGCCGTGCTGTCGATCAATTCTTTGGCTAATTTGATTCTCAAATCGGGGAGCAAAACAAGAATATTTCTAAAAGTTGTAGTGAGGGGTACAAGAGGCCAAACCTAATATCTTAGGGAGCTTACGGTAGAGTATTTGGGATTTATAAGAGTAGCTTAATCGAATTCCATAGTTTGGAAAACCAATACATCTATATATAATTGCTTGGATAATACATTTTACGTTCTGATCGAATGAATGTTACTTGCCAAAACAGGATAGCAATAAAATCGAATTCAATAAAAACCAATTTTACCCCTCATTCTCGAAGAACTTGTCATGAAGTGGGCAGGACATAGCCGATGCTGTGGCTTTTATCCATTTCTACATTTTTTTCACGCCCGCTTCTCGCCCTGGGGACTTAATTGTAACTGCGATTAAGGGTAACCTAGTTATATGCGATTGGCTTAAATGCGTTTCCCGCCATTCAATTGTTCATGCTCTGACGCAACTTCTGGGGATCCTGGTAGTGCGACGATGACGATATGACCGAGGGATGCTGTGGTGGAGGGAAACACCGCACGTGCTCCACATTTGAGCCCTCGCCATCTCCGCCCTTAAGATACTTATTCAGAATGGAAAAGATTTGTGAGTTTAATACTTGGAACCTCCGAATTCGATCCACCATCCGCTTCAGTTGCTGTAGCGTAAAGGAAAAATTTAGAAAAACGTCTTAAAGGTTGTTCATATAATCATAACTTACGATTCCCTTGACATCCTCATCTTTTCCATCGACGCGCTGTACCCTCAGAATGTGGTAGCAAAAATCAAGAGCCTCAAAACGTCGTTGTTGACCCAACAACACAATCATAACGCACCCGGCCCAATTAAGACCTTCGCCGAATAGCTCCTCAATGGTATACTCTGTCCCACGAACAGGAATGCAGTAGACAAACTGCAGCGCGGACCAGAGTCGGTGGAACTCGGAGCACTCATCCACATGGATTATCCCATTTGCTGGCGGGGGTCCGCTCCAGACTGGATCGTCTAGGTAGCTTTTCACGCGGTTAAGGATCACTTCGAAGATGCTCAGCCCACAGCAGAGTCGTTCACGTGTCAGCAAATCACCCTCACGAGCAATCATTGCTTGCTGTAATGAAATTTCATTTAACATCTATTTTATAGTAGTTTTATTTTGTATATTACCTTCGCAGTGCCGATCTTTTCTACATTCGAGACGATCTGTAGGTTAGCAAATTGTGCTTCCAGTCGCTTTTGCTTGGCTTCAGGCTTTTCGTTCTCTAAAGCATTCAAGATAGAAATGGTTATATAATTACAATTATTGCAAATCCATGCTTACCTTTGCAAAACGGTCTAGGGAAGATGTTCTGGAAGAGGGCCGCATGCAAAAGATCGCACACTTCCTCCTGGGATAAGGCTTGCTCAATCAACAGACAGAAAATGATGCTGTTGCCGAACTCCCTAAACGATTGAAACAGCTCCGTTTTGGCGTCTGGGTATTGCACTATGTCCGTTAAATGGGCCTGGTAGTAGCTTAGTACTCCTGGCGAGCCGTATTCGCAACGGGGAAGCTTGCAAGATTTTGGCATAGCGATCATCAACGTCTTGGTGAACTGCAGCAATGAGCCCTGAATCAATGGCTTAACAATATCCTTCAGTATAATATCCATAACGACGGCAATGCCCTGATAGCCGAGGAGGCGGCACATTGCATGGAAGTGTGGCGCTCCAACGAAGCCGGTGTATTGGCCATACTGGGTGGAGTAGGCAGCATTTAACTGTTTCGAGCCCCAAAGATAATAATGTGACATTTGTGGAGGTTTCTCCCGTTGAATGGCCTGCGAGGAGGAGAGGTTGACCTTGGTGCGAATGAATCTAAAATATACTGCGTCAGTAAGGAAAATTAAATTCAAAGGAAAAACGAAACCCACCGATTTGTGGCTGCATTGTAGCAATAATTGACCAGGAAATCATAATTTAATTCCACAAAGACGTGCAGGGTAATCCTTCCATAAGGTGCCAGGACATTGTGATTGGCCTCCTTAACCATCCCGTCAAAGTTGTCAAGAGCTAAATATTTACTTAGCAACTTGTGACAAATGCGATTTGCCTCCAAAAGGCCTTCAAGCTCCTACAAGTACAAGTGTTAAACATATTTAATTTTAGATATTTCGATTTACTTACCACAATGCCGGTTATGTCATTGCCTTCGAAGCGGCTGATGGCCAACTCAATGCTTTTGTGCATATTGGCGTTGATCCTTTGGGTGATCAACTTGTTCAGGTCAATGGAGCGGCCTGTAAAGTACAGAAGGCTGGTTACGAAAAATGATACAACTATCGTCCAATATGGTCTTACCCAATAACTGCACATGTCGTTGTTTTAAGAGGGTTTCATAGCGATTGTTGCGCGGATACGATTGAAAGTTGAATCCGAGAACTTCACACTCTAGACGGAATCGCTTGTCCAGGAAAATGCTACCCGCCAACTGCTTATAGTGGGCGAAGATCTGCTCGCTCAGCTTGTAGACAAACTGATCAAAGCACAGGTTCACCTCGGCCTCCACCTCGTCATAGAGGAACTGTTTGCGGAAGACGGTGAGAGCATAGTGAGCTGAGTCGTTGTACAGATCTAACGGGTACAAGACAAACCTGAGGAACGGACGCATTAAAGTATCATCTTAAGACCATAAAATGTATTGCGAAACTTACTCCATCATAGAAGGTTCCTTCGTTTGCAAAATGTGATCGGTAAGGATCCAGGGCATAGACATTTCAATGGGGAACTGAATGCGTTTCTCCATGGTGATCAGATCCTTGCACTCCTCATTATGCTGATGGCGGACCATGCACTTGTTGACCTTGCGGCCCATTGTCATCTCCAAGTAGAACTCTCGATACCACAGCTGCGAGAGGTCGCAGCACTTCTGCAATGTGTCACTAAAGTTGAGCAAGTAACTCCAGTAGAAGGAATTCTTGTGGAACGTGTCTATTTGCCCGAGGCAATTTCCATCAATGTCCTTGCGCAAAGTTCGCTTTCCGCCACTCTTATCCGCAGTAAGAGACTCCAACATTGTGCGGACCATATAAAGTTGCGTGGAGGAAGGTCCGACGTTTAAGCGCGGCACCGTAATACGAAAACCCCCATCGGGATCCTTTTTACCCTTAGACACTGGGTCATCAGTGGGTTCGTATCCCTTTTGCCAATCGGCCGACGTTTCCCGCACTGACATTATGATACTCCGAATTAAGTCCTTCTTGTTCTTGACTGCCTTGCGAAGAGGTTCGCGTAACGTCAGCTGTACAAAGTCCTGAAGCTCAGAATAAATGTTCCTTCGAATGGCTTCGCACAAGACGGTTTCGATACGAGCCATCAGCACTTGCAGGCCCTTTATCATAGCAATAACTTCAATAAGGGCGAACTTTTCCTCTGAGCTGTAGTTATACCGCGTAGCACGTTCATATTCCTCGGCTTCTACTGGGCACTCCTTGTTCTGGTGATGGTCTGTGGGGTGCAGAAGCTTCCAAGAGTACAGTTCAGTCACCACACTTGTCCATTCCGACAACAACTGCAGACCTCGCAGTGCTAAATCAGATGTGTTTCGGTTCTCCTTATCTGAAGGGTTTTCTTTCACCGTCGTGGTGACCTCATTGGTGTACCGAGCCAGCTCTGATATGTACATCACATGGTCTTCGCGAATCTTCGGCAAGTGTACCATTAAATCTGCCTGTGGGCTGATGGCGTTGGAGCTGGACAGCGGCCACTTGCTGGAGTCAAAGTGCTTGCTGCGTTTGATGTAATTGAAAGGAGCGATCTGCATGTCACCAAACAACGGCACCACTTCGAGGTGCTTGAAAATTCTATCTATGCGCTCCAGGCGAATCTTCTTCTTTTGATCCAATTTGTTGATGTTGCAGGCATCGCTGTCCATAAGAAAAAGGCCAAATCCCATTACCTTCACCAGCATATGCTTTTCCTCCGGGGTCAAGTACATTTTTGTTTCAAACATATGGACACAGATGTTGACGACGTCGGACAGAAGATCCTCGTAGCCAACAATTTTCTCAAGAGTGTCCTTAACCGTGTCGCGAATCTTGTTCTGAGTAGCCAGAAACATGGAAAGGTTCTGTGACTCCTGCAGGGTGTGAGAATCCGACATCACCTTTAGAAACTGAGCTGCGCGCCGGTACGTCGAGTAATCGTTCTTCACGCTTGACTTCATGTTCTTTAGCTCGTCTAGAACGGCGAACATATTGATGAACTTGCCCAGTGTTAGCAGATATGCCTCCGAGACAAAATCCTTTCGCTTCTCTGCATGGCACAGGCGCTTCACCTCGCCCGAAAAGGCCTCAATCGCCTTGCGTTGAAAGTACATGAAGTTTAGGAGTTTGTTTACCTCGGGAGCCAGAACCTCAACAGTCTTCTCGTAGATCTCCACCCGGTTCGGCTGCTCGTTGGACTTCGGCTGAGGAATGGCGCGTGAGCAGCAGCGCCAGGTATACAACATGACGGCATGTTTCTGCCCCTCTTCCAGCAAAACATTCTAAAATGCGGGGAGGGTCCGGGGAGGAAGTGTTAGTAATCGATTGGGACCGTGCGTTTCTATCTTGATTATCTTACCAAGTTGGCGTGCGTTGTCGCCTCTTCGATATACTTGGCAATTCCAGTAACGAATCCATTTCGATCCTCGAAATTTGTGTCGAAGTTCGCCTTGTAGATAATGGAACAGGGCTGGGCCTCGATGCAGGGCTGCTCATCGGGCAGGGAAAGCTCGTCCAGCACCTCCACATTGGACAGCGCATCGGCTAACGTTATCTTCTCCGTCATACTGCCTTGTTTATCATGCCTCCGGAAGCTCAAGAGAAATTCAATTTAACAAAGGCGGGGCTCCAATCCCCGACACCGAAGATTTTTTTCCACCGTAGTTGCCACAAATACACAAACATCAACAATGATGCCGTACTTTGGAAGTCCTAATAATTGGCAAGGGCGAGCCCAGTGCTGTAATTAAAGCCGTTTTTTTTTCCGAAAGGGAATATATATTATTTTATACAACTAAGGAAAAATATCTACGAAAATAATACTTTTTTTCTAATTACTTTATTACTAGATATATTAAATTTACAAATTATATCTGATAAAAGATCTTAAGCTTTTATAAAAAAAATATATATACATAAAAAATACACAACTGCAGTAAATTTTAATATAACTAATTTTATATCCATCGATTAAAATAAACAAATTGAAGCCATAAAAAATCAACAATTATAAAGTTCATGTTATAGTTTTTTAGAGGGAAAGGTATGACCGTTACGCAAGGTGGCTACCCTACGAAAGTAGACACGGGCAGAATCGATACTCGATTCGATTTCATTCCATTTGCAGCTCTAAAGTTTTTCTTTCTTTTCGCCTATCGTTTCCGGCAAGGTATGTAGAATTGCTCCGCGTGGTTTTTTTTATATTAATTTAATTTTTTATTTTAGCGTTGGTGATTTATCAATAGGGTAAGTAGCTGCGCTGTCCATTCGACTTCGCTCATGCATTTTTCGTCGTTTACAAAAACGGGGAAAATAGGTAATACATGTGTATGCTAATGTATGGGTTTTGTTTCGTCTTTTGCAGCTCCAAAATGACCATCCGCCCAGCGTACAGGCCCAAGATCGTTAAGAAGCGCACCAAGCACTTCATCCGCCACCAGTCGGATCGCTATGCGAAGTTGTCGGTGAGTTTGGAATTCTATTACCGTATCACAAGAAGCTGGCACTAAAGAAGTTATCTGGTTTCAGCACAAATGGCGCAAACCCAAGGGTATCGACAACAGAGTGCGTCGTCGCTTCAAGGGTCAGTACCTGATGCCCAACATCGGTTACGGTTCCAACAAGCGCACCCGCCACATGCTGCCCACGGGATTCAAGAAATTCCTGGTGCACAACGTGCGCGAACTGGAGGTCCTGCTGATGCAGAACCGCGTCTACTGCGGTGAGATCGCTCACGGAGTGTCTTCGAAGAAGCGCAAGGAAATCGTTGAGCGCGCCAAGCAGCTGTCGATCCGCCTCACCAATCCCAACGGTCGCGTGCGTTCTCAAGAGAACGAGTAAGCTTAAGATTCAGTTCGCAACGTCGAGTTTTTGTAACGTCGGAATACAAATTTGAAACGTTAAAAGTGAAATTTTTTGTGGAAATATGTGTATTCTATTGAGATTGATTGGGAGCCATCAAGGAAAGAACTCGGTAGGAGCATTCATAAAAATATTTCCGGTTTAGTTGGGACCTGTGTTTAGTTGTGTAGCAGTCAATATTATAACTGAAACGACATAGTTGTTTCATGTTTGTGTATCAGAATGTTTGCACAGTTTATTGACATCTATATGGGGTCACAATAGGTATTGTGAAGCAATGATTATTCTAAAAACCTGTTTTAGTTTGGATACAGTTAAAATATATTTGTAGACGATTTCTATTTTTCACGTACAACTGAAAGGAAATATATACTAGACTAAAGTAGCTTAGTATCTTAATTAGTTTACTTCAAAACAACGTCGTGGTCAAACTGCAAGTGGTGCTCTAGTTCCTTCTTACTTTCGAAATTGGTGTTGCATATCAGACAGAAGCCGCTGTTCTCATCGTTATCAGACATAATCACTGTAACCGCCTGCTCGGACTCGTCGACGTCCACGTGCAGCTCTTCGACGACCTGCTGCTCATCGGCGGGAGCTTCTTCTCTGACCCCATACACCACGTCCCCTTCATGGGTTTTCATGTGCATCTTAAGAGTATAGCGTTCGGTGAAAGATTTTGGGCACACAGTACAGTAGTGCCTGGGGCGATTCTCTTTATGGATGAGCGTGTGATGGTTGAATGTTTTGCGTGATTTGAAGGATACATTGCAAATGCTACAAATTATTGGATTTTCTTCGGCTTCGTGGCGCAGTCGATGATTGTAGAGTAGGTTGTCTTGGGAAAAGCGCAGACCGCACTTCTCGCATTGGTACTTTTTCTTGTCCCAGTGCATGCGCATGTGACGCAGGGTGTTGACAGGTCGGGAGAAACTCTTGTCGCAGTAACGGCACTGCTTTTCTGTTTTTCCCTCGTGTAGATTCATATGTAGTTCCAAGTACTCCTCATCTCTGCGAATCACTCCACAAATCGGGCAGATGTGGTTGGGCTGCTTAGAATGATCCTCGCTGATGTGTTTTTGTAGCTGGTACCAGGAATTGAACACCTTTCCGCAGGTGCTGCATTCTTGCTTGATACGCTTTCTCATAGGCTTTTCGTCGCCGTCAGACTCTCGTTTTTGAATGGCTCCTTCAGAGTCCCCCACTTCGACTTCGCAGATAAACTCCTCATCTTCACCCTCGCCTTCGCCATCGTCGTCGTAATCTCGCTTGATGTCTACATCGGATTCTTCTGGTTCTTTGACTAGCTCTACAAACAAAGCTTCCGCTTCGGCGTCTGTGTCACCATCGTCCTGCGGCATCTCCACCTCCTCCAAAAGAACTTCTTCGCCATTTTCCGTACCCTCAAATTCGGAATTAAGGGCAGCCTTTAGTTGAGTCGTAAGACGCTTCTGTGTTGTCATTAGATTAACCATGATACTGTCGTAGTCCGCGAGTTCGTTAAAGCACCTCTTACACAGGCGGCTACTTGGCGGAAGGTCCAACGTTGTGCCGATACAGTTGGCCAGGTGCGTCAGTACCAGCGAGACAGTTTTCTGCGAAGAGGGCACCTTGGCAGATAGATTTTCGTAGCGACTTGAGCTGCTTCCTGCGTCGCCCAGCTCTACGGCGCCGCAAAAGAAACATTGGTCCATTGCGGCCGGTCGTTATTGTTTACTTGCAACGGATGGGGAAATTGTGTACGGAATTTACTAGAGTTGGCAAAACGAGGAATATCGGAAGCTACACAAAAATGCTCAAAATACAACTCTGCGCTAGCAAAAAAGAGGGGGAGAATCATCGACGCATCGGTGTTTTTAGAAATATCGATATTTCACAGTAACAATCGATGTTTCTGTCACCTCAATTTTAATAAATATTTTACAACACTAAAAATTCTTTATTTAAAAGAGTTTTAAAAACCATTTTTTATACAAATCAAAGCACAGCTTCAATTGTTAATACCTAATAGTTTTGCATATTCTATATTTTTTTATCTTTCAGAAAAAAACATAGTTTTTCAATTATATTTATTGTTTTATTTATGTAACTTAAAACATATCCAAATATTTATTAGTAGTAGTATTTTAATGACATGCTAATTTGAAATGTGTGCTGTCATCCTTAGTTTAGTTTTAGAATTTCAGTTATTTGAAAACTAATTAGATCGCTTTCATTCCATTTGGACTCCGCTAAGCTTTCCTCTTGAATAAAAGTTTCAGTTTTCTTTTTCGGTTTTACATACGTTCTCTGCCTTTTTGAGTGGGATCTACTCTTCCGGGAAATGGTTCTGGTGGCATTGACAGCAATTCGTTTTTGAGATACTAAGGATTCGTCCGCATCCTGATTGTCTTTGCTTATAATATCCCTAAGCTTTGCCAAAACAGAATATAAAATCTTTAGGCGCTTTACTATCCGCTTCGGATCCACAGGAATTGCTAGGTTTACGATCGCATGGCATTCTCGCAGAATTACGATAAAGTCGTTGTAAACCCGCTTTCCATCTTCACTAAGTCCACCGTAATTAACGGGTAACCGAAAGTGCTCCACCAAAACATTTCCCATTTGTATTATAAATTTGATGTGACTCTTCTCCTGGATGTGGACACTTTCACCTAACATATCCAAAAAATTGTTGATCAACGAGCAACTGTCAATTATTTCGTGGATTACGTTTTTGAATATCAGGAGCTCTTCGTTGAAATGCTGTTCTAGTATATCGGCGTATTTTTCAGATGCAGTGGAATGGGGCACCTGGAGGGCTGGAACAATGCAGGCATCCAGGGACTCAAGCGAAGCCAAGCAACTCCTGACGATGGTCTTAGTTTTAATGTTCTGCGAGAATGCTATGGCCAGTACTCCAATTTGCTGAATACGATCCATGTTAGTGTCGAATGCAGAGATAAGTTCCTGAGCATCATCAGAATCAGTTTTCAGTACAGCTTTAAGTTTGCTAACCGGGTTATTTTCTAATTCAATCCAACTGGCAAAAAGTAGGTGCAAAAGGGCCTCGTTAAGAAAGGATTCCAGAGAGTAGATAGCCCGCTCCAAGGAAAGGGCTTCCAGCTTGCGGTGACCGTTATTGGGATCTCCTGCGTCCTCGTGGAATATGGCACATTCGCTGAGTAAAGTCTCACAAAGTGCTGATAGAGCCTTCTTGTCCGAATTAATAGCAACGTTTGCAAAGGCTAAGGCATGGCGTACAATGTGGTTTACAATGCTGGCCAATTGATAGCCCTCTTCATCCTCTTCGATACCCAAAAAGTTGTTATCCTTTTCATTGAGTTTTTCCAAGTAATTTTCCAGGTGATCCAGGGCCAGGTCCAATAACTCTACAAACGAGTGATCCTCGAGTTTTTTTGCCTCGTCTTGATGTAGCGAAAGCTCCGTCAACGAGACTAGTAACCGGCGAAGACACCAATCCATTCGATCGAGAAAATGATGGTGCGACATCTGGGAAGCTTCTACATTGATGGCCCTTTCCAAGTGGGTGATGCAGGTTACCACCTGGGTAAGGCATAGGAAAATGGTCTCTACTTCCAGGCTATCACCGCTTTCCAACGGCCATCGCGGGGAAATCTCTGGCAATTTCCCTTTGAGTTCGCTGGCAAAGTCCAGAAAAGTGGCACAGAATTCGTTCAGCCAGCCCATATTGCACGTTCCTTCAGCAATCAGCTCACTGCACATATTCAATTGAGTCAGCAAAGAATCCATCTTCTGTAATATGCACTATACAGTTGAAACGTAACTTTTCGACTAACCTTTGCTGCGAAAAAAATTCTCTTTATATAGAGAGGTGCAGGTACGCAAGCCAAATACGGATCAACCATCTGCCTATTTTATGACCCACAAATTTTAAATCCGCGACATGGGTATATTGGTGAGTTACACTTAAATCCGCGGTGTTACCTGATTTAATTCCGAGAAACCAAATGTATGTACAGTTTTTGGAACGAATAATCTATCAATATTTTTACAAGTTACCTGAAAAAAGGCTTTGGTAAAGAATTTTTTAAACAAGAATCTTTGCTGGAAATTCAATTTTAGAATAGAATAAACCATACATATGTTAATATTTTAAGTAATGCATAGTATAGGTATTTGTAATTTAATGATACATACATATGTTTGCATATGTCTGGTTACTTAGATTAAACTATATAAACAATACCCTACAGTACGCTCAGTGACATGTCTGAGACTAGGATGTCTGTTACTCTTTAACCTGTTCATGGACTCGCTTATGAACTTTCAGCGTGTATTTGTCTACAAAGGACTTCTCGCATTCAGTGCAGGGATACCTCGGCCTATCAGTTTGATGCGTACGCAGGTGGTGTTTATAGGTGCGCTTGGTTTTGAATTGCTGATGGCAAATCTCGCAAATAAGGGCGTTCTCTTCGGCATCATGACGCATTAGGTGGTTGTACATAAGCCAAGACAGCGAGAATCGCTCTCCACACTTATCACACTGGTATTTCTTCTTATCCCAGTGCACCTCCATGTGGCGAAGAACGTTCCTTTTATGTGAGAACTTCTTATCGCAGTAACGGCATTCCAGCTCGGTCTTTCCTTCATGAAGATTCATGTGGAGGTCCAAAACTTCGTCATCTTTAAACTTGAGGCCGCACACGTTGCAAGTTGCGTCGTCGCTTTTCTGACAGTTGTCCGTCCTGATGTGTCGGTCTAGAATTTCTTGGCTGGAAAACATTTCGCCACATATATGACAAGGATAATCTATGGTTTCCAAGTAGTCATCCTCGGAAGACGACATGCTTTCCTCGACTTCACTAAATTGGAAGTCATCCATTACTTCCTCCGTAATAAACTCCTCTTCCTTGATTTCTTCGTTTTGGTCGTTTTCTATTAAAAAAGACGAAGTGTTGGGGCTATCCAAATTCTTTGATGTCGGATGGATGACCTTGAAGGCGGGAACCTGTACTCGTGCCTTTGTAACGTCTGTCTTTTCCACCTGCTTTCCCGTGGCCTTTCCACCTTTTCCCTGACGGCATCCTAGGAGGGCATCAGCAATCTGGCGCTGCACCTGCACCAGATTCCTAACAAGTCGATCATAATTGAACAAATACTCCAGGCAATCCCTGCACGCGGCGGAGTTGGGTTGCAGTTCCAACCTCTGATTGATGATCTTTTCAAAATATTTCAATATATCTTTGATGGGCTTGAAAGTCCCTGGCACAATGCATCCTGAAAAGTTCCCACACATTAGGTTTGACCAGGCATTCATTGATTTACTCACCTTCGATGAGCTGACAGACTCCGACAGATTTTACTTTGCCGCAAACGAAGCAAAACGGACGTGTGGAGCTCATCTCGTCGCTTTGAGATCGAAAACTTGGTTTAAACAATTTAAATTGTGTATATTTGCTGTAAATATTCACTCAATTGTTTGCGGTGTGACCAACAGAGTAAAACGGAAGTATACTTCCAACGCTGATGACAAAAAATAGCTAAGCTTTATGCAATGCTTAGAAGTAGTAATCTGTAATTTTTTAATTCAAATCAAATACAGGAAAATAAAATATTTATTTCTAAAATATTTTGAGAATATTACGGCCGCCGGGGAAAAAATGCAATTACCTTACAAAAATTTAGTAGGGAATTGCAGCAGCATTTGTGTTTTATTTCAAATAAGAGGTGTAATATGTTATACCATTTGTTTTTAATTTTAAACCTTTTTTTCTTTTACAATAATTCAATAATTAACAAATTTATGTTATAAATCTAGCTTGAAAATAGCTGGATTTTGTAAATGGTACAGCAACTGTACTGTATGTGGTGCTTAAAATCTGGCCACACTGTCATGATAAAATCTGCGTTATTTGGGAAATTGCCGGTAAGAAATTTAGCAACTTTAAGCAACTATTTGCGAAATAAATAATTGATTATCATTTCAAACCTTTCAAAGGGCTACGCACAATTAGAAAAATGTCCGAGGAAGCTCTAGCGGCCGTGCCACTGGTTAATATCAGCGATCAAGGAATATTTAAGTATATTCAGATCGTGGTAAAGAATGGTGGGGAGGCTTCCAAAACGGTAGTTCGAGGCTTTGCTGACTGCACATGGCACGGTATTTATTAAAATTTCTTAACTCATACTTATTATTAGACTCATAAAAATAATTTATATTTACAGCTGACATCTTTGAAAGAGAAGAGCAAATATTCGCTAAATCGGGTCTTAAGGCCGAGTGCCCCGGTGGCGGACGCATAGAGCACGACCCAGAGAAGAAATACCTCAAAGTTTATGGATACTCCCAGGTAAATTCCAACAGTAAAATTGTAATAAGTATAATTAATTTTTATTCATATATTTTAGGGCTTCGGAAAAGCTGATCATGCCCAATCCAAAAAAATCCTGGAAACAAAATACCCAGATTACACCATCGAAATCTCGGATGAAGGATATTAGATAATGGTTCCAATAAAGCAAATTTTCTAAAGGAACTCTGGCCATCTGATCCAATGTGCCATGACATTTAACAATATGGAAAAATAAATATTTATATTTCAGGAAAATTCATTCGAGCAGTGACTGAAGCTGTTCGCTCTAAGCCTTTCTATTCTAAATTATCAAAATTGTAGTTTACGTTCAACATGCAATACTATAAAACCCTTAAGCGAGTTCCACAATGCCTTAAATTGTTCAGTAAGCATTGAACTAAACTGGAATGAAGACTTCAGGAACTGAATTCCGTTTGTTTGGTTAATTTTAGGTAGATGTTTTATGGCTGATAGGAATTTGATTCAAATTCCTCGGGTAAGGATTTCTGAGGGCCGTATACGCTATTTGTTACTGTTGATCCATAATCATGGCTTGAGTGGTTTCGGTAGGACCATCGTTCGGGGAAGCGATGTAGAGGACCATCGTGAGTTATGTAGTAACTCTTATTGACAAGACATTAATAGCGTTAGTTTTCAGTGGATATTTATGACCAAATAATGGAAGAAATGGAACCGATGGGTATCTGTGCCAAATGTCTAGGCGGCGGAAAGATCAATATGGACAAACCAAGTAAAAAAATTACCATATATGGCAAAAGTAAAGTAAGTATAGGTCATGGCGGAAAGTTAAACTTTTTCTTAACTGGAGCTCTCATAGAACTTTGGATGTGCTGACCATAACAGGACGAAGAATATTCTGAAATCTTGGGACAATTATAAGGATTTCAAAATTATTGTTGGCTGAATATTCTTTATGTAAATACATATTAATTCGAATATACTAATTAATCCTCTAAAAATTAATTTTTTTATTTGGTAATTTTTGTATAATTAATTTGAATTCAAATAAAAGATTTTGGAAAAACGTTACCATAGGATAGGATAAAACATTTTTGTACACCAGGGAACTCTTTATAACTCAAATAAAAAAGCTGTTGATGAGGTAAAATACGGCTAATATGAATTTTTGAGAGAAGTTCATTGAATACTATACAAGTCAAACTTGAACTATTAATTAACCTACTTAAACTAACTTACTATTTAAAAGCTTAAAAAGAGTGGAATATATATAGATGGTTTCATTGGTTCTATAGATATGAGTTTTTTTTATAAACAAGTATTTTTTTTACCTTAAGAAACTTTAACGTACCTTGAAAAGTTTAGAACCAAAGTTGTTCACATTTGAGTAACAGGCCCAATGTTTTCAGGAATTTACTGCTATAAAACAATTGGACAAACTAAACAAAATTCATTTCGGAAACGGCGAATCGCATTTTATGATTGGGATTAAATTAAATGATTTCACCAAAACCCGAACGAATTTTATCATAATTATGGGAAAAAAGGTCTTGGATAAATTATCCTTTGTTTACATTACACGCACAAATAAAATGTTGAATTCTTCGGCTTCATATGTTTAGTAGTTCTCACTTACGTGGACTATCGTACACAGTGTGTTTTATGTATCAAATTGAAGAGATCAAATGTGCCTTGACATTTGTATCAAAATTTACGTCTAGCTTTGGGTTGATTCTATCATATAGTTTCAGTTGCCTTCAGGCTGTGCTTGTGTAAACACCTTTTTTTTTTTGGAATTTGGACACAAAATTTTATAGTTTAAAATGAAATTGGGATTGCAACATTTCAAAATTATAAATCCACTTTCACAAATCATCAAACCTACCACAAAACAGCTAAGCACTGCAAGGGTTAACGCTTTGCTTTTGAATGTGCCAAGAGTGCAGATCTCTGATGGAAAAAACAACTACCTCCTACTGATGATACATTTGCATGGAAAAACTCGCTATGGCAGGACAATTGTTCGTGGCACAGGCTCTAAGACCCATGGTTCGTATGATTTGCTTGCTTTATACTGTATATTGTGATAAATTTTATTCCTTAATTTACTTGTAGAGGAGATTTTTGCCGAAGTGATGGATGAAATGGATGATATTGGCATATGCACAAAATCCCTAGGAGGTGGATTCATAGATAACAAAGAAAAAAAGAAAAAAATAAAAATCTACGGTTGCTGCAAGGTAAGGTGTTTGTTTTTTTTTTTAATGGTTTAACATTTAATTAAAATGTTTTTGTATCAGACATACGGCGAGGCACCCCATGGTAGAACCAAGGATATATTACTTGCTTGGACTAAATTTAAGGACTTTGACATCAACGTCGCAAAATATAAGAAGTAATTCAAACGACTGTTAAAATAGTGCAAACATATAATTGACTGCAGAAATGTATAAATTTTGATTTACGAAATAAAAGGTATTCATCGGTTCGGGTTTGCCTTCACTTTATATTGGTGCAAAGTTTTCTTAAGGAAATTGTTTTTTTTTAAATAAGTAGGCTATTTTCTTCGAAAAATAAAATATTGCGCTGTCATCCCAATCTCAAATTGACGCGCCGTAGTTCTATAAACCTATCGAATTTGTCACATCTCTAATCGATAAACCCTCGCATGTTGTAAATAAAATTTTGTTAAAAAAAATGAATTGCTGCATTTGCCAATTTTCTGTGCGAGTCCCAAAGAATATTCACACGGAAACGGTGGGCCAGCCGCCGGTGCCCATCAGCGAGCTGGTCCTGCAATGCACCAAGGGCACAGGCTACGTGCTCACCGAGGAGGCCTCGACCATTTGCAAGAAATGCTGTGAGAAGCTGGCCAGGTATCATAAGTCCATTCAGATCGCCCGCAAGCTGCGACAGGAGATCCTGGAGCTCATTCACAGTCCGTTCATATCGAAGCAGTCGCCACTGAAGGATGAAGCAAAAGGGGAACGAATTCCTAAGTTCGACGGGAATATTCAAGCAGCCGAAGCCGAAGTTGAGGAGGTGGAAGAGGAGGATGAGGTCACAGTGGTGGATCCAGGAAACCTTGATCAGGGGGAAGAGGAGGAGCACGCCTTTATTATCAAGGAATCGGAGAGCGCCGGAGAAGAAATGGAACTCCACTCGGTGGATCTAGAATTAGATATAGATAACGAGATCATTATAAACGAGGAAATGGAAGAGCAGGAAGCTGAGCTGGAGGAGACTCAGGAGAAGGACATTGAACAGGAAGACTTTTTCAAGGAGGACACCATGAGTGACTTTGACGATCAGATAGACGAAAATATAGAATACATTATATCTGAAGGTGACGGAGATATCGATGACCAGGATGCAGATAGCTCAGGCGAGTATTCCGTGAACATCCAGTGCCCCAGCTGCCCAGAGAAGTTCACCAGCCGGCGTGGATATAATGCACACACGAAACGCGAACACTTTCCTGGTTATGTCTGTGATCAGTGCGGAAAGACACTTCAATCCTATTCTGGATTTGTTGGACATCTGCAGAACCACGAGCCTGTCAAACAGTTCGCCTGCCCTGTGTGCCCGGAACGCTTTAGTCGCAAGTTCCGTCTGAAACATCACATGGCTTGGCACACCGGCGAGACGCCGTATCAGTGCGATGTATGTTCTAAAAGATTCGTCCACAAGGTGGCCCTCTACAAGCACAAGATGATTCACGACAACGAGACCAAGCGGTTGGAGTGCCAGGTGTGCGGCTTCAAAACCCGAACCAAGGCGCATCTCGAGCGTCATACGCGTTCCCATACAGGAGATAAGCCCTTTGCCTGCCCCGTGTGCAATAAGCGCTTTTCCCAGATGTACAATATGAAGGCCCATTTGAGGGAGCACGAGAGTCCTGGCACGAATCGCCATCGACGCTTCCACTGTTCAAAATGCACACACACCTTTATCAACGAGCAGAACTACGTAAGCCACGTACAGCGGGACGACTGCACGGCGACCTAACCGTCGAATAATAATAGTGTTTAGATTAATCATTTTCCGGAGCTTTAAATCACCTTCGACACTTGACAGCATCATCAGCACGATATCATGCTCACCATCTATCGCAATGAAAGAGTACATTACATTATACGTTCTATCCATGTACTTTTTTATTAAATCTATATGCATTTTGCTCACAAATAAAATATGTTTGATATAATAAATTTATCCGTTATTTTCATATTTCTGCGGTTATTTCAGTTTTCTTAAAAAAATATGTATAGTATGTATTAACTTATCTGAATAAATCAATCGATCGATCAATTGGACTGATCTGATCTCTCCCAGAAATGAAATGTGCCTAATGGTAGATCGGTAGATGCAATTGACGCAATTACAATACATTGTATAAATACATAAATGTTAAGTGTGTGTTGTGTGTATGCTGTGTTATAGATTATACAAAAATAAAACAGATTATCTTTTGATTTTTGTCGAGTTGAATAGAACTTTGTTAATATCATCATATCATCATAAAATGCACATTACAAAAATATTAACAAAATTTATTGCAGGCAGTCCGTAGTTAGTATAAAGTAACAAACACATCCCAATCGAGGAAAACCCATAAATCTTCTTAATAAATTGATTTTTTTTTCACGTTTTTGTTATTTTGTTTTTGTGCCGTTTCTAATAATCTCTGCCCCACTCTGAAACAATTCCACGGGACTAAAATGCATATCGGACGCTGAATTTATGGCTTTCAACACAAAGGGTATACTATCGCATAGGGTTTGCTTGAGTTTCTAGTAGCTCCAAATTGTCTGCCTGGATTTACGATTTTCCTTTCGAATTGAACAGTTTGTTGTACAGAAAAATACATCGTTATCGGCGCAGAGAGTAGTGTTTGATGCTGACAAAAGCCCTATCGCTTTTGATTTTCGGATATAGCTTCTCCTGTTACTAGCTCTAAGATGCATACACTTGGTGCCTTCCCTCCCCCTCTCTACATTTTGTATTAGCGCGTGCATCGGTGCACCAAGTCACACTCACGATTGGCCTTAATACAAAATCTACGCTAAATGCTTAAATATTAATCGGATGGCTTGACAAGACCCATCGCTTTGTCTCCGAATAGGGGCAGTATGTCGGAGTCGTTAACAATCTCTTCCTGAATCACTGGACTGTCCGGATCCTCGCAGTGCGTCTTGAAGAAGAACCTAAAATGAAGAGAATGGGTAAGATTTTTCTTTTTTCAAATGTAGAGAGATATTTACCTAAAGTGACCTCTTCTAGGCAGATAGTCCTTGAACTGGCGCAGGGTTGGCTGAGTACCGGGTATTTTTATTCTGTATGGAACAGGCTCGTCGCAGAACGAGAAAACCACTATCGTCTCCGGCGGCTTGGCCGGCAGAGGCGGTGGCGCCGCCGTAGACTGCAGCTGCACCTGATGTTGAAGCTGGTGTTGGTGGGGCAAGCTTACGCTTCCGCCACTGCTGCTGCTGCTGAAGGAAGCCAGAGGCTGTTGCATCGGCGTTTGGGCGTATCGACGAGAGCGCCGCGGCTCGTCTTCCAGTCTTCGTTTCGCTTCCTCCAGTTTTGAGGCCGTGCTTGAGCTGGATCGAGAGCTTTCAAGAAAAGAAGGTGAGCCTTTTTTTTAAACCGAATTTCATGACCACCTACCTCGTATCTTTGTACTTGGTAACAGTGTCGGCCGAGAACATGCTAATCCCACTATCTGTGTTCATGGAGGGCCATTTGTTTGTCAATTTCCTCGAGCAGGAACTGTGATCCGGCATGGATTTCGAGTGCTTCATAGAGTGTCCACCTGTAAATCAAATGAGTTTTAAATTATACATTCATTTATGGCTTTTGTATGCAACATACTCAAGCTCATAGCGCCATCGCTGACCATTCCGGAGTCGTGGGTGGCTGTGCGCCTTCGTGAAGGGATGGGCGGGCAGGGCGACATTGTGCCTGGAGACCGGTGTGGCGTTTGGTCTTTCCACACTCGCGACACATGCTGGTCCAGTATGTCTTGGTCGTTGTCCTCGTCCAGTGCAAACTTCTCACGTATTGCCTCGGCAAAGGCTCGATCACTGGCGCTGGATCTTTCGTTGGTCAGTATTGCAGCACCAGGATTTCTCTGCAAAACAAATTAGAATTCAATCAGATGAGAATGCACTTCCAAATTTTAAAACTCTTCACTCACTTCGCGGGCACGTTCCTCCAGGTCTCGCTTTCGTTTCACTTCCTCTAGCTTGGGTATCAGCAGAGCCACAAGTTCATCCTCCTTCAAAGGCCTGTGCTCGTTCGAATGTAGTCGTTGTGTGCGAGGTATTACCTAAAAGCAAGCAAGCATTGAGTTCAATGTCGAATCTTTATTGACTTTTCTATCCAATTACCTGAAAGGTATTGGTCTCCTTATTCGCCATTGCACTTTGGCGTATCGCCTTGCTCTCCGTGGAGCTGTGTCTGCGTTGTATGTAAGGGCGACCGTCCCTGGAAAGACAAAATAATTAGTCACTCCTGCTGCTTTCTCCTAATCGTGCTTCCGCTGCTGAATCAGGTTCTGTCCTTGCGGGCCACAATCCACCTTGGGCATCGCTACTCACATGGAACAACTGGAGAGCGACATGGTGTCGGAGTCGGTGCGGCCGCCGGAGCTAACGCTGGCCCTTTCCGAATCGACCCGCGAATTGGGCACATAGGAGGTGTTGGTGCTCGCAGTGTATACATAACCGTGGGCACTAATCGCATGCAGATCGGTTCGGTTTCGGTTTCGGTTTGGGTTCAGGATATATGTAGAGTGTCCATGCAATATTGGCCCAAAGTGAATGTGTGTGCGGGAGAATCGTCAAGATCCACAAACAAAAATGTTTAAACAAACAAGGAAAACGCAATGGATGTTCATCGAGTCAGTGGCGTATCATATGTACAATGGTCCAAATGGATGTTGTTTGTGGGGTGGTGGTGGCGTGTGGTTGTATGTATTATATGCGGGTGGGTTCGTATTTTTACGTGCGTGTGTTTGTGAGCGTTCATGTACAAAATATGTAAAAAAAGTAAAAGAAACAAAAGTAACAAAATAGGAGTTAATCACAAAATCATCGATAATATTAAAAACTTAAGACAACATAACAGGGTAAGGGATCTTCTGATGTACAATTACTGGTCTTTCATCTAGGCCTTGGCGGAAATAATGACACTCCTAGGGCTACAAATCTTGAGCCTAATATCTACAAAACTAACGAGTAATTCTAGAGTGCTACTATTTCCTCCGCATCTGGTCTTAAACACACTATTCTACGCTAATCTTAGCCTTCTATTTGTTAATTACGTTCTGGGGATAGTTTAATGAATATTTTACATACCCGGGAGGTCGAATTTCCAGTCTTCTTTTCTGAGTTGCTATTAGTAGGTCCCGCGTTAGTCGCATCGGGTAGTCGGGCGCACGAGCCCCACCTCCAGAGCCGCCGCCTCCGTCCTGCACCTGCACCTTCTCGAAGTCGTCGCAGAGCGACAGCACCGAGTCCTCGTGCAGCGTGGGCAGCGTGGAGCTGCGGGGCAGTGTGTCGGTGGCGCTGATGGACCCGCTTGAGCTGGCCGAGGTCGAGGGACCGTACACACTGCCGCTGGCACTACACGTGCCAGCTGGCGGCCCGCTCACGCTGCTCACCGGCAGGTTAATAAAGGCACCCGGCGGAACCAGCTGCTGCTGCTTGACAGTAGTCGCCGCTGGAATGGCACAAGCTCCCGCTCCTGCGAGACTACTGCCACAACTTCCACCACTCCCGCTGCTGCCGGCACTTCCCGAGCCCGTCGCGCCACTGCTGTTGCATCTTTCCTGCAGCGCCGACATCTGCTGGATGTAAAGGATGTACATCTCCGAACAGAGAAATGTAGGGTAGATGTTGTCGCGAATCGTGACTTCCACATGATGCTGCATCGGATCGAAGATGTGCGGACTGAGTGGCATGTCGGGGTTCGACTTGATCGCCTTGATCTGGGCCCGCAGGTCATCGGAGATGGACAGCTGGCTTTTGCGCAGGAATCTGGAAAGGACTATGTCAGATTTTTGGTTCCCAAAAGCTGAAGCACTCGACTCACCTGTAGATAGCACCGATTATCTGTTTCACCTTCTCTGGATCCGTCTGCTGCTTGAGGCCCTCGCAGGCAAAGTAGAAGTTGAGGTGGTCATTGTAGGCGGGCGCCTCCTCCTCGACATACTTCTTGAAGAGCTCGACCCCATCACGATCCTCCAGCAGGTGGTTTAGTGTGCGGGCCCAGTTCAGGTAGGATGGCGGTGAGTTTTTCGAGGTCTCTGTTACCCCTTCGGTCATCTGACAATAGCCGGAATACTAAAATAATAATTATAATGAAATGGGTCCACCATTACCTTTTTAACACGGCTCTCTTCTCCGGGTACTGGTGGTCGTGGCCCACTACACTCATTATCATCATGTTTCCGGAGTCCCGATGGATGGCCACTCATGCCACTCTAAATTGGCTTCCCAGGACGAGCGATTGCTGCCGAGTATTTACTATTCCTACGCTAAAGTTACCAATTACGATTAACGAACGTGTTTCCTCGGTTTCAAATCACAAACGCCCTTATTTTACAAATATCTGGGACATGGAAGATGCGCTCGTTTGCGAATTTGGAAGGCAATTAGACAAGGCCTGCAAAGGAATGATAATTCGAACAACATCGTAAGTATATAGCTTTACATTTATCCTTCTAATTTAATAAATGGAATGGAATAGTTCAGTTTCAGTAAATCAACAAAGAAGCTCTGTGAGGGCTTGAAATCCGCCTTAATTATTAACTAAAAAGCTATTTATTTTAGTACATTTTAGTGGCCTAGTAATTGGGGTTCCGATTTGCATTAAAAGTCAATTATGAGAGTCCATATCGAGCAATCGTAATTGAAATTTTAATAGGAGTCCTCTCAAGGATGCTAACGCTGAATGACCACTTAGCGCCGCTTCAATGGCAGGCCAGCGGCAGTTCCTTTTATCCTTTCTTATCAACTAGGAGGGTCGGGCGTACGCAAAACTCAAAACACAATGCGGAATCGAACGGCGGCCATTTTGAGGGCGCTTTTGATTGGTTGACGATATCGACCAATGCAGGAGCGAGAGCTCGGGGCGCATGGCAGGGGAAAGGACAATAATCCATTATGTACAAAATTTGAACACGAAATACGCACACACTGA